GGATCAAATTCAGGTCCTTGCGCTTGCGCAGCATGTGGTGAAACCACTGAACTAACACAAATATTTCCACATCAGCACTGTTTGAAATATCCCAAAAGGGAAAGCAACCCAAATGTCCCTGGAGTGGAATGGTTAAGCAGGGCATGATGGCCCACATCTGTAATCCCAGCACTAGGGAGGCTGAGGCAGGAGGATCATGGTGATTTCAAGGCCAGCCTAGGTTACATAGTGAGTTCAAGGTCAGTCTGAACTGTATAGTGAGACCTTGTATCAAAAAAACAACAACAACAAAAAACCTATATAAAAATGTAAAATATACTTGAGGTATTTATTTATAAATAAATAAAAATTAAAAATATAAATAAAAAGGAATGAGGATATAGCTCTGCACTCCCTTAATTCAAACCACACACACACAGAATGGTCACTAGTAAATGATCAGCCAGGCATGGTGGGACACACCTGTAGTCCCAGCTACTCGGGAGGCTGAGGCAAGAGAATGGCTTGAGCCCAGGAATTTGAGAAGAGCCTGAGTAACAGCAACAGCCTTTCTCTAAATAAATAAGACCAATTCTACTATACAATGTAGTGAGTATACAGAGCAGTGGTAATGAACTAGCAATGTTCAGTGTGGATCTCATGATACTGAGTACAACCTTACTCAGAAGCCAGACAAACTTTACATAAAGTTCAAAAACAGTCAAATTAATGTATGGTGATCTAAGTCAAGACAGGGCCACCTTTAGGGGGTTTCAATGGAGATGGAATATGAAGGGCTCCTGAGGTCCCAGTGAAGTCCGATGTCCTGCAGTGCTAGGGATGTCCTGCACATCCCAGGGGAGCAATCGGCTCCTGCGCTGCCCCCCTGCCTGATTTTTAGCAGGGAACTGGCTACACAGTGTGTTCACTCTGAAAACTCCCAAGCTATACACATGGTTTGTATAGTTTCTAGGATATATAAAACAGCGATGCAGCTTAGTGTGAAGGCCCTAGGTTCAATCCTCAGTACAAAAAAAAAATTTATCAATACTAAATGTCTTTCTTTTTTGTTTGTTTGTTTTTGTTTTTGGTACCAGGGATTGAACTTAGGACCTTGCACTTGCAAGGCAGGCGTGGTGCCACTAAGCTAAATCCTGACCCCAGTACTAAATTTCTTGTGTGATGACAGATGGTATGGTGGCTATACAGGGGAGCAACCTCACTCTTATGGAAGACAAGTATTCAAGTATAAAATATCCTGATGCCCGCAACTCACTACAAACCCTTTAAATATACACATGAATGAGAAAAGTCAAGTCAGCAAAACGGGAACAGTGCATCTTGGTGAACTTTTTATGGCAGTTTTTCAGGGTTCTCTGTACTATTCTTCCTACTCTTCTACAGGATAAAAATTTTTCAAAATAAAACCTTTTTTGGGTTGTGGGGGTTTATTGGTTTGTTACTTGCTTGCTTTTGAGCCGGCCTGGCCTTGAACTCGCTATGTAGCCCAGACCCTCCCACTTCAGCCTCCTAGAGTGGGGAAATTACAGGCATGCACCGCCTCACCCAGCTTCAAAATAAAGTTGAAGGGGAAAATATCTCATGGGAACTGCTGTTATTCACCAGTTCAACAGACTTTCCAAGCTCACAGAGAAGGCAACGAACAGTCCCTGAGCACTTGCCGTGACACTCAGGTGCTCCCCACATCTGCCCGCCCAGCCACCCTCACACGGAGCTTAAGCCAGGGTGGCTCCCATCACTCCCACTGAGAGGAGGAAATGGGCGCTCAGAGAGGTGCAGCGTCATGTCCAAGCGCTGCTGAGTGCTGGCCTCCGACCAGAGTCTGTCAGGAGAGAAGGGTGTGCTCTGCCCTCTCTGCGCTCTTCTTGCTCCCCTACTTCTGCGCCCTCAAAATCCAAAATTTACTATGTCCAGTAAAATCACAGCAGATAGGAAATCTACATTCTGCAATAATCCCCAGTGGTCAGCAAGTGTCAGACAATCAGATTGAACAATGCCTCTGCTCTGCACTGGAGACAGAAAAGCTAGGAGGGAGGTAAAGAAATAGGGATAACATTTCCCCTTCCAAGGGCCTACAAAATGTGCCCGCTAAAAGAGACTTTGCTGAGAGACTACCCATGCAAAACAACATTGTAGGGCAAAGAGAACAGGACATGAAGCAACAAATGAAATAGTCTCACAGGTAGACTAAAGACTAGATTTACCATAACCGAAAAACAAGTGTGTCTCTGAAATCTGTAAGTCACCAAGGGAAGCTAGCATAAATGTCACCAAAGAAAGATGGAATAATTGTCAGCACTGAGGGCATTCTGTTATTTTTTTTTTTTTTTATTTTTCTGGCACCAGGGATCGAACTCGGGACCTTGCACTTTTGAGGCAGGCAGTGGAACCACTGAGCTAAATCCCCGGCCCAAGGGCATTCTTTTAAATACCAAAGAAAATAACTTCATTAAATTAGCGGTCATCACATAAAAAATCATGCAAACCAGGTGTGGTGGCACCTGCCTGGGATCCCAGCATTCAGAAGGCTGAGGCAGGAGGATCGGCTGGGCCACACAGTAAGTTGAAAGCCAGCCTGAATTACACAACAAGACCCTGTCTCAAAATAATAATGATGATTATTATTATAATAATACAAATTAATGCATTTAATCCTCAGAACAACCCTATAAAAAAGGAACTATTATTCCTATTTTACAGGAAACTGAAGCCAGAAAAATTCAGTAACCTGTCCAAGATCACATGGCTGGTAAGTATGGTGCTAGAATCCTAAGCCAAAGGAGGTAGAAATAGAGTCTATACCTGTAACCATTACTCTACACTGTCTCTTAAGGGGAAGAGAGGGTTGGTTATTCATTCATCTTTTGAAACCAGAGACTGTTACCACAAGGCCAACTAATAAACAGTTTGAGACTGAATACTGGCTCAGCCCTGGTCTAACTCTGTGCAACTCTTCTGACACACAAAGCAGGTTTGGGAGAATTATCCAACCAACAGTCCTTTCAATCCCACTGTTTTGACCAACGAAATGGGAAATCAGGTTGATTAGGACTTGATAATAAAACAACAGGCAAGTGCTAAAGAGACTCGGCTCACTTAAAAAGTCTGCACTTGGGCTGGGGATTGTGTTCCAGCGCCTGCCTTGCAAGGGCAAGGTCCCTAGTTCGATCCCCCGTACCAAAAAAAAAAAAAAAGTCTACACTTGCAGCTCATTGTTAGACAGTGACAGAATCTAGCATGAAGAGGTCAAGTTTTCCCTCGGTTGCCACCATATTCCGATGCAATCTCATCAATAGCAGCTTTGGAAAGGATGGCAAAGAAGAGGAAGAGATAACTATCAAACAAGTGTTGGCCAAGCCCCAGGAAAGGGGCTTGGATCCTTTTCCACATGTACAGAGAAGGTAATTTCCAGAACTAAGGAACCCTTGAGTGTGACAATACCTCCAGGTGGCAAGTTTGCTTTTTCATGTTTTTTTGTTTTTTTGTTTTTTGTTTTTAGTATCCTTCACTCACTGGCACTGGCAAATTAGAGGAATCAGGAACTGAGAGCACTCTCAAATGCAGCCTATTGCCATTCCTAACACCTACCAGTTCAAGAAACCCAGGCACCTGGGCATTTCAGCAAATTAAGTGGGCCAAGGCAAGAAAGGAAGACTCTTCATACATTCCCCAAACTCTCAAATCTCTGACAAGGGAGAAGGCCAGAATCAGTCCTAGTCATCTCCCTGCCTGACAGTCCAGGTGTCTTCTGCCTGAACCACTCACACTGTTTACAGAGGCTGCTCTGGGGAACAACACCTTTAACTGTTCCAACTGCTCCAAGTGCCATTCCTCTAACAGACTTTATGAGTAAGACAGTAATAAACATTAAGTGGTAGTCTTCTGCCTAGGAAGGAAGTGAAATACTAATAAGCTGCAGAAAGCTCTTAATGGTGCTTCAAGGAAGAGGAAAGATGACTGCTAAGGTCCCAGACTGAAATCTTATTTTCTTCCTAGGCCTAATCCTAACTAAATTTTAACATGGATGGCTGACCAGTGGACTCACACATATCTGGGTTGAAATCCAGACTCAACTGGGCACATGATTTGGTGCATGTTACAAATCCCAAGTATGCATTTTTAGGAAATGGGAATGAATAGCCTGTACTTCATAGGGGTTGTAGTGAGCACTAAAGGAGACTGATAAACATAGTTTGTTCTCAGCACGATAGCACTCACGCAGTAAATGTCAGGTCCTTCTCAGCCCCTTTCCCCTCACCCTACTCCAGCTCTGGACTATACACCCCATCAGACACCTCATCATCTCTGCCTTCCGACAGCAGAAACGCAGGCGTTGAAAACACTGGACTTCATGGTCTCCTTACTGGAGGGGCATTTGGCTAAACTGTAGGTGAAAAGCTACAGAGAAGCTCTGGCCAAGAAAACTAAACCAGGGAAGAGAGGATGCATCCTCAGCCACAAGCTTGGTGGCGTCTGTTGTTTACAATGCTTCCTGCCAACGCACTGGGAGAGTCGGAGTACATTTCCAACTTGGCGAAGGAAGCACAAAGGTGACGAAAGTCAAAGAGGCTGGCAAGGGGGCCACTCCTGGAGGCTGGGGCTGGGGGGGAGTAGCGACGCCGAATGAGTCAGGCTCCTCCCCGGAGGGGACAAGCGGGTACGCTCGAGCCTCTCACCACCTCTCCTCTATCAGGGACCTCACAGCTCCAGGCTGGGGACATCATAAGGGCCTTCCACCCTCCCCGCCAAACTCAAGTGATTGGAGGGGCGGGCAGGCGCGGCCGCAGCCTCGGGCTCGGGAATGTGGTTACAGAGGGGTCACCGGGGGAGGGGCCGCGCGGGGAGGACCTGGAGAGGGGCGGGGCCCAAGAGGGGGTGAGAGGTTGCAGCCTAGGCTTGGAAGACTAGGGGTCCCCACCCGGCTCCCAGCCGGACGCCGAGCGGCCCCTCCAGCCTGGGTCCCCGCCGCCGCCCCCGCGGGGCTGTCCCACTCCCCTCACCTGGTTCGGCTGCTCTGCCTGCTCCGAAGACGCCATCTTTCTGAGGCCTGACTAATCTATCGCCGCTGGACGAGATTTCTCCCAAGCGCCCTTGCTCTGGTTTTGCGGCCCAGACTGAAGTAAAAGCAACTGAGCCTGTCGATGAGGGCGGGTTTAGGGCAAAGGCTGGGAAAAGTGTGTCTAGGTCACCTATAGGTCTCTGCTTTACAAGGAAATCCAAAGGAGTCTCTATTCTTTTTTCATAGTTATAGGAATATTATTATTCTCGAATTAAATCTCTGTCGTCCCCATAGTGCAGTGAGCCCATTTATGGTGTATTTAGTAAATGAATGAATGTAAAGAAACTTGGAAACAGATTTTTAGCCATCCACTATAATATTACTGGTGCCTACTCTTTGCCTACTTTGGTAGGCGCTAGAAATAAAAAGACCCAAAAGCCCAGGACCAGCACAATTACAGCACTGCTGGAGATTGAACCTGGTAACTGTGGAAAGGTCTATAGGGAGAACACAAAGGAGTGGGCCTCAGGAGAAGAGTCTTCTATGAACTGTCATGGCTTTATACTGCTTGAATTGTTTCGTTTGTTTTGTTTTGTTTTTGTGGTGCTAGTGATGAAACCAGGCCCTCACTTGTGGTGGGCAAGCTCTGAACTATGGAGCCATGTCCTCAGCCTGAATTGTTAGATTTTAAACTAAAGATGAAACGCTATGATATGAACATTGTGACTATTAGTTCATATTAAAACTGTGCTTTGACCTAATTGGAGTACTCAAATGGATTGCCTTAACGATTCCTCTTACTAAATACCTGATTTCTTCACCCATGTTTGTTTTTGTTTGCTTATGGTACATGGATTGAACCCAAGATGTTCACACTGAGCTATATGTCCAGCCCTTTTTAAATTTTTTATTTATTTTTTGTTTGTTGAGAGGCAAGGTCTTTCTAAATCATTAAATTGCCCAGGCTGGGCTTGAACTTTCAATTCTCCTGCTTCAGCCTCCCAGAGAGCTAGGATTATAGACATATGCTACCACATCCACCACTTTGCTCTTATAGCAAAGACAGGGAGATAAAACAACAGAAAACTAACTGGTTGGTCAACATCAGATTACTTCATGTTACCTCATAGTGAAAAAATTAAAGCAGAGGAGCCTTCACAATCATTGAAAGTGGCCAGTTTGAGAAATTGGGCTGTTCTCTCTCTAACTTTGATTTCCAGACATTCAAATAAACAGCTTAGTTTCAACTTGGTGTTATAGAACTTTAGCATGAGTGATTCCTTTTATTTATTTTTTTAGCTGTTCAGTTTTTATTGAACATGTTACAAAATGAGGTTTAGTCAAAAAGACCAAAGCCCATGTCGTCATCAGACTCCTCAGATTCTTCTTTCTTTGCTTCTTCCTTCTTCTCCTCAGCTGGGGCAGCAGCAGTGGAGGGGGCAGGGCCTCCCGAAGGTGCAGCACCAGCTACAGGAGCAGGGCCACCAGCCCCTACATTGCAGATGAGGCTCCCAATGTTGACATTAGCCAGGGCCTTTGCAAATAAACCAGGCCAAAAAGGTTCAACATTGACACCAGCCGCTTTAATGAGGACATTGATCTTATCCTCCGTGATTGTCACCTCGTCATCGTGCAGGATAAGGGCAGAGTAGATGCAGGTGAGCTCGGAGACGGAGGCCATGGTGCGGGCTGCAGGGCACAGTGCTAATCGTCAAATAAAGTGAGAGCCTCACCTCAACCCAGCCTTAGCTCCCTCGGAAGAAGCAAGCACCTTGGCAGCAGGTGAGGAAAGGGCGATTCCTTTTATTTTTATAATGGAGATGGAACACACTGAGCTCTCAATCTTGTTTTTTTGTTGTTGTTTTTTAATTGAGACAAGGTCTGTTAAGTAGTTCAGGCTGGCCTCTAACTTGTAGCAATCCTCCTGCCTCAGCCTCCCCAGTGTGGGGATTATAAGTGTGTGCCACCACACCTGGCTTCCATCATGCTTTTTGTTTTTTGGTACCAGGGATTGAACTCAGGACCTTGTTTGCGCTTGCAAGGCAGGCAGCGGCACCACTGAGCTAAATCCCCAGCCCCTCCATCATGATTTTTAACCAAGTCAAGGAGGCTAATGCAGAAGCTTAGTCCAAAGCAGTGGCCTGATTTGTTCTATCTTGTTGAAATAGAGTCATGCTATGTATTTCAGGCAGGCCTTGAACTCACTATGTAGCACAGGAGGGCCTTGAACTCTCAGCAATCCTCCTGCCTCAGCTTCTGGAGAGCTGGGATTACAGCTATGTGCCACTACAGCCAGTGTTGAAATTGTATTTAACAGCCTATTGACGTATTTAAGCATTTTATTCCAAGCCCCTAACTTAATTTGCATCGGTGAAACAGTGGATAAAATGGGAAATCTTATGCTACTGCTTTTTCCTTTCTTACACTATTTTGTTACATCTTCAGCAACACTGAAAACCACACTCTTCAGGTTTTAAAAATGAGCCTGTAGGTTGGGAGAGTTTACAGATAGACCTTTCCAGATTGGAAAGGAAAAACCAATAAACTATGTATACTGGGAGACTTTTATGTATTAGTATTATGCATCTACTTATGCACAGAAGGGTGCTCCGAACATTCAAGGATGTATACTTTGAAATGCAATATGAACCCTTACTGACTAGATTTTAAACATTCGCTTAAACAGGGCTAAGATGTAGCTCAGTAGTAGACCACTTGTTTACTGTGTATAGGGCCCATAGCACCACCTAAAAACAAAAAAGTAAGCTACTCTTTGGCTGTATTCCCTCAAGCTAAAGTAGGATTTGAACAGACTACAGCTCCCAGCATGCCCTGTGCCTCACGTGATTAATAGCAGCTAGAACTACATCTCCCGGCGTCCCTCAGTCTCTCGCATGATTGGCTACTACGGGAACTACATCTCCCGGCAGGCTTCGGGTGGGAGTGAGTCGGAGGAGCCACCTGTCCAGTTCGTCTCAGCTTCCCGGAGTTACTCAGGTCCCACCTTGAAGAGGATGGAGGTGACCGGGGGTGCCGGTGTTGCGGACCCCGGCGAGATCCGGCCTCTGAAGCCTTGTTTAGTGCGTCGCAACCACAGCCGCGAACAGCACGGCGTGGCGGCCTCTTCCGTCGAAGAGCTGAGGAACAAGGGTTAGCACTGGTCCGGGACCTGGGCGGGGGCTGAGAGCCTGGTGGATGCGGATGTTTAGCTGGAGCAAGGCGAGGTCGGTGAAGGTGACTTGGGGTTTCTTATAGCTCAAGTAGAGCCTTGGGACGGAAATGGCCCATGTGGGCATAGCGAGTAACAGATTCCAGGCGCTGTAACTCATCTTGTATTAGACTCGTAGTCGGGGGAAAGGTAGGCAGAAAGTAATGTGCAAACGACGTCGGATTGGACTTAGGTGACTCGCCTAAAGTGACTTACGCTTTGGACCAACCCGAGCCTAGAGTATTCCTGCCACTCGGCTTACAAAGTAATAGTGGGGGCGGATTTTCACTGTCGCCTCCGACTAGTACTTGTGCTATAAAGGAAGGTGCTAATGACCGTCCCAGTGGGGTCTGCAGGAGGACAAAGTTATACTGCTTGCCCTTGCGACTTAACCATCTCTGAGCCCGTAGTTTTCTCATCAGCAAAGTGGCAAAGTTTCCAGCCCCGCTGCAGAAGAGCATTCGGACTCTCAAATGGGATAAGATTTTCATATGATTTACAAACTTTATTAGCCTATAGCGCCAAATTATTTATCCAAAGAAGTTCAGCCGGTTTGTGTGAGCCAGCCCCAGTCATATAGTAGGTGTGTCAGGATGCTAAGCCCCAGCTATCTTACAGAAGATGTGGGACCCAGCAATGCCAAAGCACTGTAAAATGCTTTGATGACATGGCTTTTGCCACACTGATGTTTACATATTTGCTCCTGGCATTAGGCTACTTCAATTTTAGTGCCACTTTGTGCACTGGTTGGAGGTACTTGACACACAGGCTTTTGTTCTCTGCAGCTGGGCTTTGAGAGGCTCACTGTTCTATTTTGGGTGATAGCATTTCGGGAAGATATTTGTAGTCTCTTGACCTTTTCTTCTTAAATCCAGTCTCATTAGCATTTTAAGGCATTGCCATCATTCGAGATGGTATAGAAAGAAACCCTTTTGCCTATGATAATAAAAATAAAAATCTAATTATACAAGCATCTGCTTCTCATATTTTCTATGGCTGCTATAACTTAAGGGATGATGCTACAAAAACCAAAAAGCATTTTCTTCTCTTTTTTTTGGCATTTGACACAGGAGAATTTTTATTTTGCAATACTAGAGGTGAAACTCAGACACATAAGAGAATTTAGATGACTGAATAAAATTATGCTGAATAAATAAATGACAGACTCACCAAACCAAGTTCTGGTTAGTTATTCATTCACGTCAAGACTTGAATGCCTCCTATCTGTGGGTGTGGAATACCTGTAGGAAACACATTTTCAGGAGCCAGACTGGGTTTAAATCGCAGCTCTACCGCTTACTGTGTGATGTGTGATCTTGGACAGATTGCTTAACCTTTCTGAGCCTTGAATTTGTTGTCTGTAAAATGGGAATAAAAGTAGGACCTACCTTATAGGATTAATACTGTGTATGAAAAGCACTGAAAATAGTACCAGGCGCATAGAGTTACATTAGCGCTTATAGTTACAACTGTTACTGTGATTGTTATTATCTACCAAGAATTCTGCTCAGGTCTGGGGGCTTGCATATTGAGAATACTGGAACAGGATGTAATTTCCTTATGGATATTTGTCAGTTGCTAAATATTTTCCTCTTCTCAGCCTGTGACATTCTGACCATTGACAAGTCCCTAACACCAGTCACCCTGGTCCTAGCAGAGGATGGCACCATAGTTGATGATGATGACTACTTCCTGTGTCTCCCTTCCAACACTAAGTTTGTGGCCTTGGCTAGTAACGAGAAGTGGACATACAGCAATTCAGGTAAGAAACTGGCCATATGTACAACATCCATCATGGTTAATTTTACTGCACAGCAACTGATTGCTATTTGGCTGGGGGTTTTTTTGGGTTTTTTGTTTTTGGTACCAGAGATCGAACTCAGGACCTTGCGCTTTTGAGGCAGGCGTGGTGCCACTGAGCTAAATCCCAGGCCCTTGTCTGGCTGTTTAAGCATTTATGCAGTGAGTATTTACCTGAAAACCTATCTACCAGATGTGGGTGCTAAGTCCTGGAGATAAACATAAAAGAGACCTAGGTCTGACAGCAGCTAAAATGAACCACAAAAGGTCAATGTGAGCTCCTGAAGTCAGGCTGCTGGGGTCTGAACCTGGCTTTGCCATTTACTAACCAGGTAGTAAGTCCGGGCAAATTATATAACGTCTTGGTGCCTTACTGTCATAACAGTGACAATACCTGCCTCCTAGGATCCCTGTAAGGATAATACAGTACATGTCAAACCAGAGCTTCTCAACAGTATTGTTGACATTTTGGGCTAGAAAATTCTTTCATAGAGAGGCTGTTCTGTGCATGGTGGGGCGCTGAGCAACATCCCTGGCCTGTTCCCACTAGATGCTGGTAGCAACCCCCGACCCAACTGTGACAACCAAGAATGTCTCCAGACATCATGTTTAGATCTTAACCTGACAGTGAGGCTCAGTAAATATTAGCTTTTCACTAGATCGTCATCACTGGAGATAGAAGGGCAACTAATATTGATGAGCAAGGATTAAAGAGCTAAACAAGTGTCTCCAAGAAAGTCTGTGCTCCTCAATTGAGGAAGTCAGCCTTCAGCAGTGGCTGGACAAGCCACCTGTGTGTTTGGGTCCAAGGGACAGCAAGTGATCTTCCATCTCAAAGTGGGACCAATCCCCTCCCACAGGAGAAGGCCTAGTGACAATGAATGTTTTCACATATGGAAACAGAACACACCTAGACACACAAAAATTAACCAAAAGCAAGTCTGGTAGGATCCTGGCTTCATCTGTGACCATATACTGGGGCTAAGTGGCTTCTCTTCATAGATGAACACAAAAAAATTGGAGGAAGGGGAACCACTACAGCCCTGTAAGGGGCCTGGCTTTCCTGTGATTCCTTGAGAGAAGGTGCCCACTTCCCCATTAGAATTGTCCCGAATGGGCTGTCAGAAGGGCTCAGACATCCTTGAGAGGAGGTGGGAACAGGACCAGAAGTCACTGTGAGACTGACACTTTCTCCTATGTATTAGATGGAGGCACAGCTTGGATTTCCCAAGAGTCCTTTGACGTAGATGAAACAGACAGCGGGGCAGGGGTGAAGTGGAAGAATGTGGCCAGGCAGCTGAAAGAAGATCTGTCCAGCATCATCCTGCTGTCAGAGGAGGAGCTCCAGGTAAGCCCATCCACAGCCTGCAGCAGCACTCAGCCTGGCAGCCCCAGCACCTGCTTGGCTTCCATACCTCTCACCATGGTAATTGTTTCTGTTTTCTTTTGCCGTATTGGGGATTGAACCCAAGCCTACGCACTGAACTACATCCCCAGCCATTTTTTGTTTTGTTTTGCTTTGTTTCTTTCATTTTGAGACAGGGTGAAGTTGCCCAAACTTACAATCCTCCTGCCTCAGCCTCCCATAATGCTGGTGGGATTACAGGTGTGCACCACCACGCTGTGCTTATTTCTTTCCTTTCTTAATTCCTAATTCGCCCCTCCCCATGCATAGGGTATCAAACCCAGGGCCTTGTGCATGGCAGACAATACCCCCAACGGTTCTTTTTTGTTCATTTGTTTTGGTGGTGGGACTGGGGATTGAACCCAGAGCCTTGGCACTAAGCTACATCCCCATCGAACTCAGGACCTTCTGCCTGTGAGGCAGGCATGGTGCCACTGAGCTAAATACCTGGCCCTTTTTAAATTTAATACTGTCATGCTAAGTCACTCATTTGCTTAGGCTGGGCTCAAACTTGTGATCACCCTGCTTCAGCCTCCTAGAATGCAGGGATTATAAGCCTGCACCACCAGGCCCAGCTTCATTTTTAAATAATTCTTACATTACAGCTAAATCTTCATTTTATGGCCCTGTTTTCTGCTCTCACTGTGCATCAGAATTACCTGTGGATTTTTTTTCTTAAATATAGATGTCCAGGGGCCAAGGATTTAACTCAGTGATTCCACCGCCTGCCTCGCAAATGGAAGGTCCCAAGTTCCATCCCCGGTACCAAAAACCCCCCCAGACATCCAGGCCCCAATAAGCTCTGGGAGCTGGGGGTGTGCTGCTAGCAAATGTGGAGTTGGAGTGGTTAGTTCAAATCCCAGCTCTGTCATTGCAACTTTGAGGCAGTGCCTCAGCTTCTCTGCTTACATTTATTTCCTCTCCAGCAGAATTGGGATAAAAGTGTTATGTTTTTATTCAAAATGCATTGACTGAAGCCCTGCCCTGTGCCGCAGCCTGAGGCTGTGGTAGTGAACAAGCCAGGCACAGTTTGCTCGCCAAAATAGAGTTCTAATGAAGGAAGGCAGACAGCAGGAAAGCATACAGGGACCCAGTGCATGCCTGTAATCCTGGGACTCAGGAGGCTGAGACAGGAGGATCACCACAAGTTCCAGGCCAGCTGGACAACATAGTGAGTTCAAGGCCCGCTTGAACTACATAGCAAGACCTTGACTGAAAAAGAAAAAGAGAAAGCTTATAGACAGGGTGGCGTGGCTGATGGTGCTGGGGCTACTCTTGGCTGAGGGGTGAGGAAGACCTCTTTAAGGAAGTGACTTTTGCATTATATTTTAAATTTACGCGCTTATTTTTAATAAGTAATACGAATATTTTCACATGGTTCATATCCAAGAGGTACAGAAAAACACACAGTAGCCAAAAAGTAAAAACAACCCCCATGTCTACACACAATGACTGGGTAAGGAAAATGTGGTGAATCAGAACTCTTAAGGGCTAGGGATTTAGCTCAGTGGCACCGCATCTGCCTGGCAAGCACAAGGTCCTGAGTTTGATTCCCAGTACCAGGGACAAAAAAACCAGGACTCTTAAATGTCCTTTGCCTCTACAAAGGAGTGGACTGTTGACTCGGTCACAAGGTCCATGAGCCTGGAAGACAGTGAAGGAAGCCAGGGGAAGCAAAGGGCACAGAGTCTGAGATAGCATTAATGGCCAGAGTATGCAGACCCATAGAGAGAGAAAGTAAAAGCAAGGTGTGGTGGTGCACACCTGTCGTCCCAACTACAGGGGAGGCTGAGGCAGGAGGATTGCAAGTTCAAGGCCAGCCTGGGTAACTTAGCAAGAACCTGCCTAAAGAAATGGGAAGAAAGTGTTCCAATGGGAAGGGGAACAAGGGATGAGGGAGGGAGGGAGGAAGGAAGCTCGAGAAAAAAGTGAAAATAGAAGGAAAAATGAAAACAAGGCTTCTGTACGTAGGGAGGGGAGGGGCCTTGAGGGGGAGAATGCAATAAAATTAAAATAAAATTTATTTTTTTAAAAAAAAACCTGCCTAAAAATAAAAACAGAAAGAGCTAGAGGGGCTGGGATGTAGCTCAGTAATGGCACACTTGCCTGGTGTATGAGAAGCTCTGGGTTGCACTCTCAGTAGGGGGAGGCAGAGAGTGGATTAATGATTGTGTGGGATGGGAGTGACTGCTAATGGCTTTCTTTCAAGGGTGGTGATGAAAATGCTGTGACTGAACCCAGGCCCTACACTTGCTGAACGTGTGCCGTATCACTGGAGCCACACCCTATTACCTGAGCTACACCCCAGCCAGTCATAGATCAAATGTCCTAAAACCCACTGAATGGGTGAAGGGAGAGAAAGCTGGTGAGCAGAAGAGACTCAGAGGAAAGTCAGCCCCGCCCTGGCGTGAGGGTCTCCCTCCTTGGAGACAGCTGGCCAGCAGTGTCCAGAGCTGGATGGAGATATGTGTTGCAGACAGACAAGCCTGCATAGATCTTGCCCTTCCCTGTTTTATGCAAGTGGCACCTCTGCGCCCTGTTTATAAGTGAATACTTGGAAGTCTTCCCAGGGTGGCATAGCAAAGGCGTCTTCATTCCTGTCCCCAGTGCAGGGACGCCCCGTGCTGTGTTTGCAGAGCACCTGAGCACACCAGGTATTTGGGTTCTCATCGTCTCCCCACACCAGGCAGTGCCACTGAAGCTCAACCCCAAGGGTATTGGACAAAGGCCATGCCAGGATAGCAGCGATTTGTCCCAGCCTGGGCCCTGACGAATGGGCTCTAGCGGGAAGGGTAGGAGCCCAACGAAAGCTGAGGCTGGCCACCCACAGGATGAAAGAAAGCAGGGCCAGAGAAGGCTGAGGGCTTTGGGGACAGAGGAAGGGAGGGGAGGCACATGAGCTCATCTGCACAGGCTACAGGGATTAGCACAAGATTGTGGTTCTCGGGAAGGCCCTTAGCCTCTCACCTCATTTTCCTCACCTGTGAAATGGGACTTCCTTATGGGATCCGTGCCTCTTAAATTTTGAACCTTGTGGGCCAGGGATGTAGCTTAGTGGTGCCTGCACCTGCCTCACAAGCAAAAGGTCCTGAGTTCAATCCCCAGTACCAAAAAAAAGGTTTTTTTGAACTTTGTGCATATACTAATCTTAGTTCAAAAATTGATATAATGCAATCTAAAAATAACGTTTCCTCCTCAGAGAGGCCATTCCTAACCTAGTACTCAAAAAATACAAGCTCTTGGGCCGGGGATTTAGCTCAGTGGAGCCGAGCCTGCCTCGAAAGCACAAGGTCCTAAGTTTGATACCCAGTACCAGAAAATATTTAAAAAAAAAAAAAATATATATATATATATATATATGTATATATGTGTGTGTTCTTCCCACACATCATGGTACAGGCTTGTAATCCCAGCTACTCAAGAGGCTGAGGCAGGCTTGCCAAGTTCCACCCCAGCCTGGGCACCGTAGCAACATAGCGAGACCTTGTCTCAAAACAAAAAACTTTACAAAGGCTGGGGATGCAGCTAGAAGTGAAGGCCTGGGTCCAATCCACTGTACCACTAAATAAATGAATAACTACTGGGCTTTGATTTGTTGCCAGTGGGGCAGCGAGGCGGCGAGGCCCCATGGCCCTGTGGCCTGGTTTTATCAGTTCCCCACTTCCGCACTGGAAGCAGCCACGGGGCGTGTTGGAACGGCTCTTGGGTCCTCAGTGCCGCTGTATATATGCCTCAGGTGCTCACTGGCGTGCCATCTTCAGACCTGGCGCAGGAGCTGTGCCAGACCCATGCCGCCGCTCAGGGGCTCCAGAACACGCTGCAGCGGGTGCTCGACCAGCGAGAGGAGGCCCGGCAGTCCAGACAGCTCCTGGAGCTTTACCTGCGGGCTCTGGACAAGAAGGACGGCGTCTTGTCAAGGCCGGAAGGTAGGACATCCCCAGGGTTGCTCAGAGGAGGAGGCAGCGCCCTTGGGAGACGCCTGTCTACAGGCAGCCCACCTGGGGGAGCCATTTCTCTCTCCCAGCACTGGCTCTGCCCGAAGTTGCAGAGCTCACTGACCTCTCTCACATCCGCTCTGCAGAGTCCAAAGCTGCCTTTGGGGAAGAGGTGGATGCAGTTGACACAGGCATCGACAGAGAGAGCACCTCCAAAATCGCGCTTAGGAGCCAGGTCCTCTCGGCGCTGCAGGAGAAGCCCGCTCCAGAGCTGAGCTTGTGTAGTCAAGATCTGGAGGTGGGCGAGGACCAGGGACACTGAGCCGCAGAGTGCCCTGCCCTGGAGGTATAGGGGACCATGCAGAGCTCACCTGGGCTCCCTGCTCACCTCTGCAGAGCTGTAATCAGAGCTGCCCGTTTGCCTGCTGTACACCATAGCGTCTGCAAACGCCTCACTTACTCTTAACCAAAGTAGCTTTAAAAAGAAAATAGGATCCCCGGTACCCAAAAAAAAGAAAATAGATGCACTCCCCCAGATCATTATTTTCTGGTCCAAAGTCGGTCACAACAGGCAGGAACAGCAGGGCTCAAGCTTCCAGATGGCTTCCAGTTTGAGGGGTCAAAGAGCCCGCTGGCAGGTAGGGTGGGGCACACCTGTCATCCCAGGACTGGCTACATAGTGAGTTCAAGGCCAGCCTCAGCTATGTCGTGAGACTGTTTCTAACAAACCGCCACAGCCAGCCGTGAAGCTGTAGAGCCACACAGGAGAAGGTGACTCGAGGGCACCCTTCCACCTGGCTAAGGCCAGGCCACAGGAGGCCTGACAAAGGGAGCCATGAAGGGGAGGTGCTTCTTATCCATTGTCCTTGTCCTCTTCCTCTTCCCAGATACTCCCTGTTTAGTTCCTTTAGGGAAGGAAATTGTGTTACTTGAGCTTGGCTCAACTTCCTGTTGTTGTTGAATGGTAAGAAAAGACACCTAACTGTGTCCCGGGAAAGAAGCCTGGCGAGTCAGAGCAGAGGCACATCACGTCCTGTGCCCTGGTCTCGCTCCCCTCCAAACTGAGGCGCAGGACAGGAGGGCAGAAGCGGCGCTTCTCAGGGGCTCTTGTTCTTGCTGCAGTTGGTCACCAAGGAGGACCCCCAAGCCCTGGCCTCTGCTCTGAACTGGGACATAAAGAAGACAGAAGCGGCTCAGCAGGCCTGCGCCCAGGAGCTCGCCCGGCGCCTGCAGCAGACCCAGAGCTTGCGTTCGCTCAGGACTCTGTCAGCCAGGAGGAACTCCCTGCCCAGAGGATCGCAGGGAGCTAAACGAGCCAAGCAAGGCCCCACCTAGCTGCAGCCGGAAGACACAGGGAGACCCACAGCCTCGTTTTCTGCTGCCAGTAAATACCTTCAGCCCGGTTATATGCTCATACCTACAGGCTGCTCTGCCCCTGCCTCCAGCTTGTTCTGTTGGCACCAGCTAGAAGCCTGCCTTATACCCCTCCAGAAAGGCTGTTCCAGAGCTCTGCACACCCTCGTCCTCCTCTGTCTTTTTTTGGGGGGTGAGATCTTGCTATATAACCCAGGCTGGGCTGGAACTCACAGCGATCCTCCTGCCTCAGCCTCCTGAGTGCTGGAATTACAGGCATCTGCCACCACACCTGGCTTCATCTGCCCATTTTGAATGATGTAAGTCCACCAACTCTATGAACAGTTTTGTGGGGTTTTTTTGGTACTGGGGATAGAACTCGAGGCAGGTGGCAGAACCACTGAGCCAAATCCCCGGCCTGGACAGTACGTTTTTGTTTATTTTTTTTGAAACAAGGTCTCACCATGTAGTTCAGACTAGCCTTGAACTCACTTTAGCCTAGGCTGGCCTCGAACTTGCAGCACTCTTCCTGTCTCAGCCTCCTGAGTGCTGGGATTACAGGTATGCACCACCACACCTGGCTCCGTGTACTGTTCTTATGTTCTCTGTTTAAAAGTACTTGTTAGAGGACCGGGGATTTAGCTTAGTAGTTCCACTGCCTGCCTCACAAGCACAAGGACCTGAGTTTGATCCCCGGTACCAAAAAAAAAAAAAAAGTACTTGTTAGAGGACCCGGGATTTAGCTCAGTGCCACCGTGACTGCCTCAAAAGTGTAAGGTCCTGAGTTCTATCCCTGGTACCAAAAAAATAAAAAAATTCAAGTACTTATTGGAGCTAGACATGGTAGCACACACCTGTAATCCCAGCACTCAAGAGGCTGAGGCAGGAAGATTGAAAGGCTAGCTTGTGCAGTTTTGCAAGACCCTCTCAAAATTTTAAAAAATATATTATCTGGGTGTGGTGGCACAAGTCTGTAGAGTTCAAGGCCAGCATGGGCGATATACTGAGTTCAAAACCAGCTTTAGCTACATACCAAGACCCTGTCTCAATAAGTAAATAAACTAATAATAAGTAAATGAGGGCTGGGAATATAGCTCAGTGCAAAGGCCCTGTGTTCAGTCCACAGTCTGCCAAAAATAAAAAGCACTTGTCAGGCCTGGCAATGTAGCTTAGTGGTAGGGCACAGAGTTAGCATGCATGAGGCCCCCAGGTTCAATCCTCAGCACCCAAAAGATAAAAAGTAAATACATGAAAGAACTGGTCAAGTGCAATGAAAAGAAACTGTCATATTTGGAATATTCATGTCCTTGTTCTGTAGCCAGCACTGCAGAATCTCAGACACAAATGGTGTAGGGAAGGTGGCTAATGGGATGTGATGACAGCCACAAACTTGTTCCTCAAGTTAATGAATATTTTTCTTTGTTTGCTTAAAGGCACATATTAATTTTGCAGACCACAGGGACTTGGAGAGTCTAATTCATCATTTCTAATATCTGACTCAGTATTATGAAATTATATCTGGTGCCACTGTGAAACTCTTCAGTTTTCTAATATGTTTTATCAGCGGGGGTAGAAGCAGTCACAAAGTGGTTTGTGTGTTGTATCTGCAAGTCTGGCTGTGCCGTGCAGAGCACCTCCGGTTTGCACACCCCATTTCTGTACACACCTGTTCTGCGGGTTTTGTAATCTGCCATACAGCATCCTTGCAGGAAAAGGGCGGTCGTTAATCATTGACTTATTTGACTTTTTTTTTTAATGTGTTCTTAGTGCACAGCAGAATGCAGTAGAGAGCTACATAGGCCAGTTCTGTACATCTCTTGTTTTTCAAGACGGGGTCTCACTCTGTAGCCCAGGCTGGCCTTTAACACCAGGCAATCCTCCTGCCTCAGCCTCTCGAGTGCTGGGAACACAAGCGTGCACCGCCACACCCGGCTCACATTTGTTCTTGGTGCTGGGGATGAAACCCTGGCCCCACACATGCTAAGCAGGGGCTTTACCCACCAAGCTGGACCTCAACCGCACCTTGGATCAGTTTTCTTTTTGTCTTTTGGTTTTTGTTTTTTGTTTCCCCAATACAGGGGATTGAATTCAGGACCTTGCGCTTGCCAGGCAGGTGTGGTGCTGCTGAGCTACATCCCCAGCCCCATCGGCCAGTTCTTAAACCAAGAAATGTTAACAGTCCTGGGGAGGGGAGGATGCAGAAGACAGCTGAACAGAACAACAAAGAATCGTTTCTTTCTGTGATCTTCCGGGCAGGCTCAGATCTATTGGGCTTCCTCACACCACTGGATCTCATTAGCCCTTGCATTCGCCTTTTTACAGCTTGTCTTGTAAGACCTCCTTAATTAGCCTTAAATAAACGCCAGAGCTTGTATTTGAAAAGCACTGATTCAGTACCCCAAGTTTAACACTTCAGAAGACAAGACAGGAAGATCCCAGCAAGACGGCGCTGTGTGAGTGGACGGGCCAAGGGGCTCTGAAGCTGTCAGATGCTCGCACGAACATCACATTGCCTGGGGCTCACGGGCTGGCAGGTGTGTTGTGACTGTCACTCAGGTACCACAGGCAGCACTGCCACTGGTAACTGATCCCCTCCCCCCGCAAGTGAGCTGAACAGAATTCATCTATTCTTGGTTGTAGCAGAGCACACAATCCTAGAAAACCCAGAGTAGCTGGGGATTTAGCTCAGTGGCACCGTGACTGCCTCACAAGCACAAGGTCCTGAGTTTGATCCCCAATACTGAAAAAAAAAAAAAAAAAAACCAGGGTACTTTAAAACTGAAGAAAAAGCCAGGTGTGGCGGTGCGAGCCTGTAATCCTAGCGCTTGGGAGGCTGAGCCAGGAAGATGGCCACAAGTTTGAGGCCAGTGGGAACAACACAGTGAGACCCTGTCTTGAAAAAGAAATACTGAAGGGAAACACCCTTGTGTTTCTGTATAAAGTAGGAGTAGGCTCCAGGCTAAGGTGATTTTGAACAGGTTTGTATCCATGTGACAGCCCAGCAGGATGACCCAAAGTCACGCAGGAGGCTGTTTCATACCTGTAGATGCTCAGGAGGCTGAGGCAGGAAGATGATGAGCCCAGAAAAGTAATGCCCACAAAGCACTTTTGCCAGCTCACACCACGCAGGAGCCTCAGAAGCAGATGTGTAGCTGGGCTCATCTCCCCTTCTGTCCTCAGCAACTGGGGCTCCGTGAGGTCCCATGACTTCCTCACATCACAAAGGATATAGCAAGTTCAAGGCCAGCCTGAACTACACGGTGAGACCCTGTCTCAACAAAAATGGGCCGGACATTTAGCTCAGTGGTTCCACCACCTGCCTCACAAGTGCAAGGTCCCAAGTTCGATTCCTGGTACCAAAAAAAAAAAAAAAACGGAGCCTGAGTTCAAGGTCAGCCTGGGCTACAGAGGGAGACCCTCTCTCAGAAAAGAAAGGGCCGGGGATGTAGCTCAGTGGTTCCACTGCCTGCCAAATCCTGAGTTCATATCCCCAGCACCACATTTTAAAAGAGGTAAATGAGGTACTAGGTGGAGAAGAGCACAGTACTGTACCTGACACCCCGGGTGAGGAGAAAGGTCCCTTTCCTTCCCTGGGTGGGCAGGGCAGCAAATCAGTGAGCCTACAGGCTGCAGGGCGCAGGCCTTGGTCTGCACACTCCCTCCCTGAGGTGTAGTGGGGGCGAGTCACACTCAGGCTGGCCCTGCCAGCGGTCACCTTCCCAGCCACACTCCCGCCGGCCTTGTAGGACAGAGATGCAGCAGGCAGTGTGTCTAAAAATAGCTTTGAGCAAGGGCGCGGGGCCTGATGTTATCCAGGTAGGAGAAAAGAATGTCAAAGAAAGCAGCTGGGACTAATGAACTCCCCATTAGCTGTGTTCCATTTCAACTGAGTCAGATGTCGGTCCCCATTAGGCAGTTGGCTTAGACAGGAGCTGTGCTAATTACCACTTACCAGCCCTTAATTTCTGGGTAAAAGCAAGAAGGAAAAACTAATGGATTTTTCATTTTCCACAGAGAAAGGAATAAAATAATAGTATGTGTTTAAAAATGTGTTAATTACAAGAATTATTAATGTGCCTTTACTCACCAGATTGTCTGGCTGCTTAATTTCCTAATTAGCTATTCAATTTTTTTCCCTTCAGTTCATATCCGTTTTATTTTGGCTGAATTTATGCTACTTTAGGGTTTGCTGTTGTTTGTTTGAGACAGTGTCTTGCTATGTAGCCCAGGCTGGCCTGGAACTGCTGTGATCCTCCTGCCTCAGCCTCTGGAGTGCTGAGATTGTAGGTGTATGCAACCAGCCCGGCTAAGGTTTTTTTGAACTTTGTTATTTTGTTTTGGGGGGGGGTTGGGTACCGGGGATCGAACTTGGGACCTTGCGCTTGCAAGGCAGGCGCCCGAACCACTGAGCTAAATCCCCGGCCCTGAACTTTGGAAGTGATGCAGTCTGAATACCCCTGAACTGCAGGAACTCTGCCCACGGCATGCTAGTGAGTCTTTCAACCTGTGTGGAAACCTGCAGTGGCCGAGCATGGTGATGCACACCTGTAATCCCACCAATTGGGAGGCTGAGGCAGGAGGATCACCATGAGTTGGAAGCCAGCCTGGGGTACATAATGAGACCTTGTCTCAAAAAACAAAAAAACCTTAAATGAAAGCAGGGGGCTCCCCACACTCGGATCATGCTACACATTCAGATTGAGGAAACTTAGAGTCCGCAGTTTGCTCAAATCGATCTGACGCCGCTGGTATGATTCCAACAGCTCACTGCACCCGGACTGGGTCTCCTTTGGGGTTTCTCAACACTGTTGCAGAAACTGTCACCAAAAAAGTCAAACTTTTCATCAGCGTGTAATTATTTTAATAACATAAACTTTTTGTTCACATTACTGGGAATAGAACTCAAGACCTTTGTACTAAGCTACATCCTCAGCCCTTTTTGTTGTTTTTTTGAGGGAGGAGGGGGTTTGGTTTGGTTTTGGTTTTTTGAGACAAGTTCGCACCATGAAGTTCAGGCTGGCCTTGAACTCACAGCAATCCTGGCTCAGCCTGCCATGGTGCTGGGATGACAGATGAGTGCCACCTTAATTTAAGACAGGATCTCAAGAAGTTTCTAAATTGCCCAGGCTGGGCTTGCAGACCTCTTCCTCAGCCTGCCACAGAACTGAAGTGACAGGCGTGCGCCACCATGCCCAGCTAAATGACAGATTTTACTACCAGGATGAGGAGTTCAAAACAGTGGGCTGTTTGGGTGGTCTTTGCCTCTTCCTCTTCTTTTCAATATTTAGATGGTTTTTCCTTTTCAGATTTGTTAAAAATTGAATCCCTGGCTGGGAATGGCATTTGCCTGTGATCCCAGCACTCAGGAGGCTGAGGCAGGAGGATCACCACAAGTCCAAGCCCAGCCTGGGCTGCACAATCGGTTCAAGACCAAGGTAAAAAAAAAAAAAAAATCATTACATTCCCTGAACTAAGTCTGCACCTGATGGATTTCCTGACAGTACATTAGGAGAGTCTTATTATCCCCAGGTGCTACTTAGTTAAAACATAAAATCCGCAGTTTTAAGGACTACGTATGGAGGACCCCAATCAAAACTGAAAAGTAAACTTTTCTCCTATGAGAAAGAAATTCTTTTTTTTTTTTTAAACAGAGTCTTGCTATGTAGCCCAGGCTGGCCTCGAACTCAGGGCAATCCTCCTGCCTCAGCCTCCAGAGTGCTGGGATTATAGGCAGGCAGGAAAATCTTAAATGACAAGATTCTGGAGGTGGGCTGGTCTTTCAGGCCAGCATCTGCCACTAGTGCACTGACCCAGTTAGAGCTCCCCAAAGCTTCTGTGTTGGAAATGTGGATGCTATTAAGCCTCTTCTATCACAGGAGACTTTATCCAGCTCGTAATTAGGAATATGTGCTCAGCTCTGCAAAAACAGAACGGAAAGCTCAGCAGTTGCGCTCAGAATCTGCTCCCCTGGTGTGGAGAGAAAAGGATAATAATCCAGTATCCTCTGCCAACCAGGGTTTGTTGTCCCAGTATTACTCCTGACCCTCAGAAACTTGGCCTAGCCCTCGGTATGACCTCTAAACTTTCTTTCTTTCCTTATTTTAAGACAGGACCCGGCTATGTAGTCCAGGTTGGCCTCTAATTGCAATCCTCCTGCCTCGGCCTCCCAAGTGCTGGATTACAGGCATGTGCCACCACATCCAGCTTCTAAACTTGAAAATTTACCATCCAGCACCTCAATTCTAGGGTGCTGAACCCCAATATGTCCCCCACCACAGGACTCTCATCAAAGTGGTCCCTATACCACTGCCACAGCCCCTCTGGAGTAGGCTGCCTTACGGACTTTCAAATAAAGCTTAGCATCTAAAAGCTCCACACTAGATGTTTCCTTTAGCATTTGTGACTCAAGTCCAAAACGTTCTGTGAAATCAAGCGAGGATTTAAGTGCTATGAGGGAGAATTAAAACGTGATAAGCTTTTGAAGTCCAGCTGTTTGTTTACCCTAACTTCCTTCCAGCAGACCAAAGTCCTCAGTGAGTACCTCCGGTGCTGCTCTGTATCACACCACAGGAAATGAAATTCTCACTGCCAGGTGCCGTGGTGCACACATAGAATCCCAGCTCTCAGCAGGCAGATCTTGAGTTTGAGGCTAGCCCGGGCGATTTAGCAAAATTTTCTCAAAAAAAAAAGGAAAATGAAATTCTCCCTCATTTAAACTTTTTTTGGTACTAGGGATCAAACCCAGGGTCTTTATAATAAACTATATCCCCAGTCCCTTTTTATTTTGGGACAGAGTCTTGCTAAACTGCCCAGGCTAGGCTCAAATTCGAGACCCTCCTGCCTCAGCCCTCAGCCTCTCAGGGTGCTGGGATTATAGGCATGCACCACCACACCCAGCTACTTTTTTTTTTCAGTACTTGGGGTTGAACCAGAGCCTTTGTACTAAACTACATCTCCAGCCCTTTTTGGTTTGTTTGTTTGGTACCGGGGATCAAACTTAAGACCTTGGGCTTGCAAGGCAGGCCCTGTGCCACTGAGCTAAATCCCTGGCCCTCCAGCCCTTTTTAAATTTTATTTTTTATTCTGAGGAATGGACTTAATGATGTAAGTCACTAAATTGCATGGGTTGGGCTCAAATTTGGGACCCTCTTGCCTCAGCCTCACAGAGTGCTGGGATATGCAGCTGCCAGGCCTGGCTTTATCTCACCATTACCCACTGGAAATGACAGGAATGATGAAGCTAGTGTGACTACACACAAAATGCATACCCAGTGTTGCTAACAAGGTCCCAGTGTGAGATGTTGGAGGTTCGTATTTCAGAAGTTGATTCAAGCCAGGTGACGACCTGTCGAAGGCCTGTGACCCCAGCATTTGGAGGCTGAGGCGGGAGGCTCACCACAAGTTCAAGGCCAGCCTAAACTACAAATGCTACACCCTGTCTCAAACAAAAAAAACCAGTTGATGCCAGCAGGCTACAGGCTGGGGAGCAGTGTTGCTGGGGTCTCTGGTTTGAAATCATACTTTTAAAAGTAGACATCGAAGCAAAACAGAAGCTATAATCTGCAAAAAGAATTGGAACAAATTAATATCATTACTAATTAAAACTGGAACATAACAGCAACTTTGAATATGACTTTTATGAGCATGTCAGCATGATGTCTCTTTAATAGCGTAACAATTGTTTTAAAATTAATTTTAGCTAAAACATTAGGAATAATTATTTTGCTCTTGGAGCACAATGTAAAAAAAATGTGCTCATAAAGTTTGCGGTGCTGGGAGTCAAACCCAGGGCTTCGTGCCTGCTGGCCTGGGCTCCTCCACTGGGCCACCCACCCCAGAGGAACCCAGGGGCTTTGTTCTAAGCTTCATCCCCATCACTTTTCACATTTTTTTAAATTTGTTTGTTTTTTAAGACAAGGTCTCACTTTGTAGTTCAGGCTGATGATCTTAAACTATGTAGCCCAAGCTGGCCTCGAACTCGCAGCAGTTCTGCCTCAGCCTCCCCAGTGCTGGGATTACAGGTACATGACACCACACCCAGCCTACTTTTTATTTTTTGAGACAAAGTCTTGGTATGTTGCCCAGGGTTGGCCTTGAACTTGTCATCCTCCTGTCTCAGCCTCCTGAGTAGTTAGGTTTGTGCGACCACGCCCAAGGAAGAACCACCAAAATCTTTATTAAAAGTGTTGTCATTAGGTTCCCAATTACTCAGTTCTAAATACTGCTGGCATTGGACATTATTGAAATTTAAATAAAATACTTCGCAAGTGACACACAAAGAAAAGAAACTGCCTCAAGAAGATAGTGCTGCTGAATTCATTTTATTCGAGTCCACATCACAACCCCCAGTGTGGTCGGTCATGGGGAGTCTATTTGCAGGAGGAGAAGGTCTTCCAGAAGAAGTTTTTACAGCGTGTTTTGTCTCGGCGAGGGGGCTGTTGGAGGGGTGCGCCTTCCTGTCGCTTGGCCACCTTTCTGCTGTGCCCCCCGACGAGGTCCCCAGTACTGGCCTGGGAGGTCCACTCATCCCACCACGTGAGCAAAGTCAGGAGGCTGTCTTTCTTTATTTCTGCCATCTCCTGCATATGCTTTTAAAGAGAAGCAGATGACAAAGGAAAGACAAATCATTGGCCTGGCTCTGCCAGCATTAAAGGAGTTGCAATAGAGAGAGAGAGAGAGAGAGAGAGAGAGAAGGTTCTTCAGCAATGAATTAAATTCCCATTCAAAGGATGAGAAAGTTAACAGAAAGCCTTAAAGAGATTGCTCTAATTAGAGAAAAGGAAAAGTTGGTCATTTCAGTCCAGGAAAAACCCAGCTGGTGCTGCCCCATGGGTCTCTGCTGTGGTCCTTAATTACAAGGGATCCGGACACCTGTGTGTCCCCTGCCGGGAGACTGGCAACTGGGAAGCCAGAGGAACTGGGCTGATTCAGCATGTCCCGTCTTGGACACACTCCTGGGTCCCGTCCCCCTGCCCAGTTGCTCTCCGAGATAGATCAGATTGAGCTGCTAAATTCATCTTTCGCATTCCTGGGGAAGTGACAAACGGCCTGTCTGAAACTCATCTGGTAATTTCAGGAAAAAAATCCATTTTTAATGGTCAGTTTTATGTACTCTTCTTGGAACTTTTTCAAAACAGAAAAAAAAGAAAAAAGAAAAATAAATCACCTCCCAAAGTTACAAATTCTCTGCATGGAAATGTGACGCTGTCAGTTCAGCTGAGCCAGGCAGAGCGAGGCGGGCTATATAAATTATGGTCCTGGGGCCGGGGATTTAGCTCAGTGGTTCAACCACCTGCCTCGCAAGCACAAGGACCTGAGTTTGATCCCCCGGTACCATAAAAAAAATAATAAATAAATTATGGTCCTGGAAGTCCTTGTGAGTGATCCGGGCAGGGGCCCCTCTGAAAGCACAGCCTGGAGCCATCACTGAGCCCAGGGGAGACTCAGCTGGAGCACAGAGAGGCCCCGGGGAACTGCAGCGGTCACCAGCAAACCATGGATTGAGACAAGGAAAGGACCCGAGAACCGGGGACCACACATGACCTCAGGGTCAAGGTTCAGCATTGTGCTCTGCCCTGGTGTGATCCACAGCACATGGAGTGTGTAGGGTACACACACGCACGCACGCGCGCGCACACACACACACACACACACACACACACACACACACCCCTAGCTGCACAAATGCTGGGAATCCACAGGCTGCCCAATACCAAGGACAGAGACAAGCTGAGAGCATGGAGGGGACCGTACTCACCACACGGTCCTGGCTGGCAGGGCCGCCTTCCAGGGCCAGGGCGGTGGCTGTGGCCCCCCAGAGCAGCAGCAGCAGCAGCAGCAGCAGCTGCTGCGTCCCTCGGGCTTGGGCGCCATCCATCGTGGGCAGCCCTGGCATCAGTGCTCTGAGCCGGCTCTGTGAAGACCCAGCACAGGCTGTGGCGTCTCCACGTTGGTGGTGAACCTGGAGCCCTCTCCTCACACTTCAGTGATGACGCAGGAGCCCGAGCAAGAGCCCCCACAAAAGCATTCTGGGGCTGGATTGTGCCCCCTTAATGAAACCCTTAGGTCTTTTCCTGCATTTAGAGTGAATTCACTCTTATTTTGGAATGCATGTGCATTTGCGTCGGAGGAAGTTCGACTTCCTCGCAATTATCCCTACAACAAGCAGGAAGCCATGAGAACAAAACCAAGTGATTTAACAGAATATAAAATTAGCCTTGGGGAAGGAGCCGAAGGAAGATGTGAAATTTTGCCCATATGTAATTTTGCCCATATGACTGCGGGGCTGGGTGGAGCTGAGTGGAGAGCGCTGAGGCCGGGCTGATCCAGCACCAAAACCCGGGTCTGCTGGGAGTCAGAGAAACTCAGAGCAATGTGGGCTCAGAAGGAAGCAGTGACAGCGCTACTGGCTTCACCCACTTGTGGGCAAGGTCAACCCAAGCAGTTGTGCCCCCCCTAGCAGGTCAGACCTGCTGTCCTCCCAGCCAGGCCTCAAACTGGAAAGTGCCTGAAGTGCAGTCACCGAAGAGCCCTCCTGTCTCTAGCAGACCCAGAGGATGCCGGCTGAGAGCAGCCAGATCCTTACACACAGAGGCCGGAAATCAGCACCTTTTTTTTTTGAGACACGGTCTCACTATGTAGCCCAGGCTGGCCTCGAACTTGTAGCAATCCTCTTGCCTAAGCCTCCCAAGTGCTGGGAATACATGTGTGTGCCATGACACCAGGTACCGTTGTAGGAAATTCTAACATGGCCTAATAACCTGTGGTTTTTATACTGCACGCTGTGCCAGACAAGGGAGTCTGAGGCAGGAAGATTGCCAGGAATACAAGGCCAGCTTGAACTACATAGTGAGACCCTGTCTCAAATAACAACAATAAAATACACTGAATGTTGCTTAGACTTTTATCCCCGCCCCCCTCCCCAGTACCAGGGATTGAACTCAGGACCTTGCACTTATGAGGCAGGCATGGCACCACTGAGCTAAATCCCCAGCCCTAGACTTTTTATTTCTATACCAAAATAATTTTAGGCCTAAAATAATTCCCACAAATGACATTAAAATTCTGAGGTCAGGCCAAGGATTTAGCTCAATGGTTCCACCACCTGCCTCGCAAGCACAAGGTCCCAAGTTCAATCCCCGGTACCAATAAATAAATAAATAAATAAATAAATAAACCTCTCCTCCTCTAAGCTGCAGGTGTCAAGTATGTTGTCTGAAACATGTATGTCAGATTTATGGGCCGGGGATTTAGCTCAATGGTTTCGCCACCTGCCCCGCAAGCACAAGGACCCAAGTTCGATCCCCGATACCAAAAAAAAAAAAATTCTGAGGTGTTCTTGGAGATGAGAAATTCACGGCTACTCAGCCAGCTTCCTATGTCCTTAGTATGTTTTGCAGACTGTTATTACTGCTATTATTATTTAGGTCCTTGCACTGGGTTCAGCCCATTTTATTTTACGTTCAAACAAGGTCTCACAAGATTGCCCAGGCTGGGCTTGAACTCAGGATCCTCCTGCCTCAGCCTCCCTTGTCAGTGGGATGCTAAGAATGCACCATCTCACCCTGCAGGTTTTGTGGATTTCCTCCAACTGGCCCATTAAATGTTCTGCTCACCCGGGCAGTACACAGAGCCCATACCAAAAAGGACCCAGGCCCCACCCCAACAGAGCTGTAAGCCCAAGGGGCAGGATAAGAAAAGAGGAAGGCTTTCCAGTGGGTAAGACACTGCCAGGAAGGCTCTGTGCTGGGGCAGGCAACCAGGGACATTTCCTGATAGCTTATTATTGGCTCTGCCAACAAGGGGGACTTGTAGACTACAATTCGGGCTTTTGTTGTTGTTTTATGAGACAGGGTCTTGCTATGTAGTTCAGGCTGGCCTTGAACTCAGTATGGCGCCAGGTTACAAGTGTATACCACCACACCCGGCTTCAACACCTGCCTCTGCATACAGTTAACCATCTGTAGATCTAGTTACATTCAGGGGAGCTTCCAGGAGCAACTCCACAGGGGAGCAAACCACAGTTCAAAAGAGGAGTCGTAGAGGGTGGCAGCATCACCTGGGATGTCCAGAGCCAGCCAACCCTAATGGGATGCATGTGGAATGTGGGACGTGGGGCCAGCGATGAGTTTGGATCTGGAAAGCACACTGTAAGACATTCATCTAAACTGGAAATACGGTCACCGTAAACACACCCAGCACACCCAGAGCTCCCAGGTGCCAGGGCAGCACCCTCATTTCTAGGCAACACCACATCCAGTGCCCCTGCCACCAGAGCCTCAGACAGGACACCAGCAGGTTTGCCATGTCCATCACAGACCCATCAAGTCCCGAAGCCACTGGAGTCTCTAAAACTCTCTGAGGGTCCTGTGCAGTACACGGATGATCCCATCAGGAGGTATTTTAAACCCTGATTCAGTCACATGGTCCTAGAGCTGCTGAAGTAAGATGCAAACCTAGATCCTTCAGCTCCGGGAAGCCCACAGCACCCGCCCCTCACCCCCGACGTCAAGTTCAAAGAGTGGTATTGGAGTGAAGCTGCTGTATACCACCTCCAGCTAAATGTACGAGGATGGAAGGCTTTAAAAGTTTTCCTTATTTAGGGCCGGGGATTTAGCTCAGTGGTTTCGCTGCCTGCTGTGCAAGTGCAAGGACCGGAGTTTGATCCCCAGTACCACAAAAAAGTTTTCCTTATTTAGCAGTACTGGGGATTAACCCAGGGCCTTTGCCCAAGCTGGGCTTGAACTTTAGATCCTCCTGCCTCAGCCTTTGGAAGTGCTGGGATTACAGGTATGGGTCCCCACACCTGGCTCATGAAAGGCTTTAGGATTCATTTTCCCCTCCTTGATGTGACATACAGATGTAACCATTAATATATGGGATCCAGTGATTATTTGCTTGGCCTGAAATCATCAAGCTGTAGGTCACTGCTTGCCTGTGACCTTGGCCAGGCGCCTCCCCAAAACAGACTTAGGATGTCTCCAGCTGAGCACGGTGGGGCGTGGATGGTATAAATTCTGCCCCAAATGATGCCCCCTCTCTCTTGCCCACCCAAAAGCCCACACCCCTGAATGTGGATGCTGTGTGCACTGGTCAGGAGCTTGTCCTCTTGGACCAGTTAACCTTGCCAAGCCTCAGTTTGCTAATCAGGAAAATGGGGATAAAGCTGTGAAGAGCCAACGAGGGATTATATGGACCATGGTGGCTCTTTAAGTGCCAGGCCCATTTTACCCTCACTGTCACACTAAGGAAAGGCCCCGGAGCGCTCCGAAGCCCGGAGACATGGAAGGGAGAGCCGAGGTGTTGGGAAACTCATTGCTCACAAAGGAAACAGTGGCACCCTGAAGGGTTCAGGGCAGTCAGTCCTGGATCTCAGCCCCCAGCAAAACTTCTGTCCTGTAGAGCCACAGCCTCACTACAAAATCACCAGAGAAAAGTCACATAAACCATGTTTCCAGAGAAAATCACCTTTAAAAAGTAAAAGGGACCATTCCCAACATCACCTTGTTACCTGGTGATCAGGGGCACACGAGTTGAAAAGCATCAGTAACAGAGAGCTAAGTAATACTGCTTTATTCATCTTTCAGAGCTCAGCACTTAGCCTGGAAAATTGTGTCAAACCATGAAGAAATAACCAGGGTTTGTGCCTGAAAATGTCAGTCAGGGCCACTTGCCGACAGCCTGGCTAACGGCTGTGTGTAACCCAAGGGAGCCCCAAAGCCGCACCTTTCCCAGTGCGTGGGTGCAACCCAGGTGCCACGCTCAAGAAGCCAGTGTCTGAGGCGCTGGCACTCACAGCTCAGGTTGGAGAACACAGCATAAAAGCTGTCCGCCTCTCTTCTTCCCAAGTCTCCCCTCACCCTCCAAAGCCCCTCCCTGTGGCACCAGCATCTCTCAGGGGCCTAACTCTTATCTTCCCCTACTTCAGCCTCCGCTGGCTCCCTGGAATTCTGGTTTCCATCCTCTGGCTTCTTTTTCTTTTTTGCCTTTCGCTCTTGGTTCAGCTGAGCAAGCTCTTCATTTTTCTCTGTGATGTATTTCAGCTACAACAAACAACGCTAACTAAATGAGGCTGTAAACCATTTTATAAACCCCAAAATATAACTACACACCCAACCATTCCACCTCCCGTCGTCACTGCCGCTAACTGGGATGACCCGGCCCTTCTGGGTGCCAGGTGTCTGCTTCTGGAAAATGGAGACCTGGTCAAAACACTCTAAACTTGGAAAGATGGGAAATGTGCTGTTCCTGCCATCCAGCCACACACACCCCTCCCACGCCTGGCTCCACGGAGAGCCAGGCACAGGGGAGCCTGAGACCAGCCCAGACCAGCGTGTGACATCTCGTCGGCAATGGAACATGGGACCTGAGCTTTGAGATATTATAAAACAGGCAAGTGATGAAATAAAGAGTGCTGATTAGAAAATTTCAAACTGGCTTTGCAAGATCCATCATAGCGAAAGAAAGACTATAAATTATGGGCGGGCAGGCCTGAATGGTTCGGGCATCTCCAGTTTTTAATGCAAGGTGCTCCGGGGAATAACTTCCTGGCCTCTGGTGATTAATTGGGAATAATGTATTCTGATGGGAAAGGGGAGCATTTAGGGATCCATCTCTCACCAGTGAATTACTCCTCCTGGCCAAGAGCTTCACATCTTCAGTGTTAATCGTGCTTCTTTTAGCATGTCTGGGAAAGGGCAGAAACAAGGCACCAAAATGTTTACTATTATTTAAAGTTTTGATGAAACAGACTTCAAACTTGCAAGGATCACTAAGTAGACCAACTTTGGAGATTAAAGTCATTGAGCAAAGGTGAGACAGGAGTGTGTGAAATGACGCTCTTTAGCAATCCTATCCACTTTGCCTGAGGGCTGTGCCAGCTTGGGACTCAGGAAGTCTGAGGAGCTAAAACCCTTCAGGGCCAGGGATGTACCTCAGTGGTCCCAGCACCTGCCTCAAAAGCTCAAGGTCCCGAGTTTGATCCCTGGTACCAAAAAAACCAAAACCAAAAACCCCTTACAGAGTGACCTGAGCAGCCACAGGGAATAGCACAGAAAGAGCAGGGAGAAAGGCAGTGTACACAGAGGTCACCTTTGCTTACACAGATGTTAAACAGAAGAACCCAGAATTTCCATGACGTGTGGCCGTACTATAGCCAGGCCTGCTCGCTCTTCTGGAGGGCTAAGTCACAGCCCAGGGTGATAGACGCCTCTCGCACCCATTTCCCTGCAAGCCTTGATAGGCTACAACTGCCATGGTGGTCTGGGAACAACAAAGAGCCGCCTCTAAACTGGAGTCTGCTGGCCAGGCACAGTGGTACAAGCCTGTAATCCCAGCACTTAGGAGGCTGAGGCAGGAGGTCTGCCTCGAGTTCAAGGCCAGCTGGGCTACATAGTGAGTTTGAGGTCAACCTGAACTACAGAGCAAGACTTTGTCTCAAAACAAACAAACAAACAAACAAAATAAATAAACTACAGCCTGGTTCTTGCTTACAACTTGGACCCAAATCCTCATTTTGGGCCTCTTATCCTAATTTGAGATAATAAGCTCTATTCAATAATTTATTGCTCTAACTACATTTTCTTGCCATTACTAATTTTGTTTTGAGACAGGGTCTCACTTTGTAGCCCAGGCTGGCCTTGAACTCACGGACGCCTCCTGCCTCACCCTTCCTGTACTGGAATCACAGGTGTGTACCACCACACCGGCTCAGAACCCTTTTACATAAAAGGTGATGTCCTGTCCTTGGAGCTTCAAGTTCAAGTCCCACACACCCCTCCCCCAAGTACCCAGCAAAAGAAGATGAGCCTTTTATGTAGGCATAAAAGCACACAATATCTGCTAAATATTTCTAATTTCTTTTCCTTTTCCAGGGCTAAGATCAAACCCAGGGCTTCCAACATGCTAAACATGAGGTTCTGCCACATTTACAGTCTTTCTTCACAGCTAAGGGGGGCTCGCAGTGCCCCGTGACACTGCCCCCACCCCCAACGTGCAGTGGTTTTTAGGCACTGATGTATAAAGGATGAGGGAAGATTTAGAGCCTGCCCTCCCCGAACTGGTGGCTTTAATTCATTCACAACTTTGACAGGAGAAACAAAGAGCTAAGAGGAGCAAGGTGAGAGGTGGGGGTGTGGGTGGGCTGTACCCCAGCACATGGAAAAGTGCGGCCCTTTCAGCCAGTCTTTCCAGCTGCTGCATAAAAGCAGCTCCCTGCGACTGTCCTCAATTATCTGAGGTACTAATTGACCAGCTGAGCATAAATCACCTGTAAAAGCTAAAGCTGTACCAACTGAGCGCAAGTCACCGCCTTCCGGGTGTGGGCCTGACGCAGGAAGCTGCCAGTCATTGTCCCCACACCTGCGAGCAATCATGGGGATGGCGCAGCCTACAATCAGCCACCAGCTGACACGCTTCGTGAGCAGGCGCCGCACTCCATAGCTGCTCTTTAGACGTCACACATGGCCGAGCCAGCTCAGAACTGAGTGAGAGAGCAGCTGGTAGAGTCCGGTAGAGTTGTGATCGTGGTGTGGCCAGCCATAGACCCTTAACCGAAGGCCCAAGTGCTGCGCAGACACCGGACACGACGCATACCCAGGACCCAGGACCAAGAGCTCTACCCACCTGGCAAACATTTCAAGGTCTCTGGCAAAATTTTCTGCAAGAGAAAAAAGAGACATGCTTTAGGCATGCTTACTTCAACCTCATTTCAGAAGGGGAAAGGTGAAATCCTGACTTCTACAGTCAGCACAGTGACGGAGACAACAAACTTCTCAACTACAGTGCTAGAGACTGAACCCAGGCCTCGGCCCTGAACGCTCTTTACCCCAGCCCTTTTTCATTCTGAGACAGGGTCCTGTGCTAAGTCGCCCAGGCTGGGCTTGTGATCCTCCTGCCTCAGCCTCCCAGAGTGCTGGGGTTATAGGCGGACCATGCCAGGCTAACCCTTCTGAAGGCCCATAGAGGCGCCTCGGGAGGCCCTGTCAGCTGGTGTCCCCCTCGTTCCTCCTCCACTTCTCCGCTCATTAGGGCCAGCCTTCCCATAACTGTGACAATGCGCTGGTTTCCAGAAATTACCCTTTAACTTTAAATTCTGCTGCAGGTCAGGGCTTGTGAGCACAGGAATTTCCTCCAAAGCTAAGCAAGTAGCAATGCCACAGGTTCACCAGACAAATACACTGTGGCTGATATAAAAATGTTACGATGCGTTGAAATTAAAAATGTAAGTGTAACATCCAGCCACCAGGGCAGTTTAATACACAATAAAATACAGAAGTTAATATTCCAGTGTTGGTGTAATAGAAAAAACCCTAATAGTTCTTTCCATAAATATCCAAATCTTGCTGGGCATGACGTTGCACACCTGTAATCCCAGCTGTGGGGAGGCTGTGGCAGGAGGATGGCTACAAGCTTAAGGCCAGGCTGGGCCACATAGTGAATTCTAGCCCAGCCTGAACTGCACAGTGAGACTCTGTCTCAAAAAACCAAACCAAACCAAACCAAACCAAAACCCAAATCTTAGAGCCAAAACAAGAACATGTAGCCAGGCATGATAGTGCGTGCTTGTGATCCCAGCACTCTGGAGGCTGAGGCAGAAGGAATGCCATGAGTTCAAGGCCAGCCTGAACTACACAGTGAGGCCCTGTCCCAAAAACCAAGAAAAAGCCTTGCCAGCAGGTCAGCAGTAAGCATGGGCATCATGGGGTGTTTTTGCACCAGTTAAGTTAAAAACATGAACTTAGCACAAGGACCCGAGTTTGATCCCCGGTACCAAAAAACAACAACAACAAAAACCCATGAACTTTACTACTTTTAAAAAAGTTATTTTAAAGCTTTGTTTTAAAAAAATGAAGTCTTTTTATAATTTAAAAATAAAGTTTGTTCTGCAAAAAAAAAAAAAAAAAAAGGAAAGAAGCATTTCATGAAGCCCGAGACACAGTGACAGTTCCCCCCACACTAATCTAGGCAAATGGACCTCTGGGATTTAGACACAGCGAGATCCGTACCACACTGCTGGAAGGTCATCTCCGAAATTGCTGCGATGGTTTGCTTGCTGAACTGCACCTCTTTGTCCGCTTCGACTTCCTGGCACAGACAGCCGACCGTGTAGTGGACTGCTGCCTTGAGCCTCTGGGGAGATAGAATACTTCAGGGTGAGACTTCATCTGAGCACTGTTCGAGGCTTGAACACGCTGACCCCTCCTCCTGCAGCCTGCCCTGGTGTCTGAGGACCCTTCAGGTGCACTGACTGAGTCACGGGGCACTCTGGAGGGTGACCTGTGGAAACGCCACCTCCCAGCCCCTGCCTGTGACCAGGACCCGTAAAGAGGGCTCACAGGGCGGCCATGGGGGCAGAAGTCACCCTGGCACTCAAGCGCAGGCTTGCCATTCCTCCCTCATCCCGCCAGCCCCTCAGTTCCCATTCTCGGGGACATAATGACACATCAGATGGGCTCAGCACAGAAGGGCCAGGCCTGGTGGCCCACACCTGCAATCCCAGTACCGAGGCCGAAGTAGGAGGATGGAGAGTTCCAGGCCAGCGTGGACTATGACATGAGTCCCTGTGAGAAAACGAAGAAGGAGCAGAGAGTCTTGGCAGCCCCAGGCCTGCCTGAGGCCCCTGCACAAAGGATGAAAGCAGGGCTGGGGATTTAGCTCAGTGGTTCTGCCGCCTGCCTCGCAAACACAAGGACCCGAGTTCAATCCCCGGTACCAAAAAATAAAATAAAAAAAGATGAAAGCATAGGACAACACCAGGAAAGGCTCCTACTCTGGGTTGGGCATTTGTAAGCCCACCTCAGCAGCCCTCCCAGTTCCCCAGCAACCACACTTTTTTTTTTTCTTTTTCTTTCTGTGCAGTGCTGGGGATCAAATCCAGAGCCTATCAAATAACAGGCAAGGGCTCTACCAAGGAGCTACATTCCCATCCCTGAGCAATCCTTTATCTATTTATTTTGTGATACTGAGGACAGAGCCGAGGGCCTGTGCACTGAGCTACATCCCCAGCCCTTTTATTATTTTGAGACAGGGTCAGCCAGCTGTGGTGATGCACACTTGTAATCCCAGAATTCAGGAAGCTGAGGCAGGCGGATTGCTTTGAGCTAGAGGTCGGCCTGGGCTACATAGTGAGTTGGAGACCAGACTCGGCTCATCCTCCAGCCTTGGCCTCCCACAGTGCTGCATTGCTATATCCAGCTAACTTTTTTAGATGCTGAAAAGTTTCCCTCCTCCCCATGCACAGAAGTACCAAGAAAAAGGTGGGAAGAACCTCAAAACAGGCTGAGCAAGGGCCGGGGATGTAGCTCAGTGGTGCCACTGCCTGCCTCGAAAGCACAAGGTCCTGAGTTCAATCCCCAGTACCAAAAAAAAAAAACCCCCAAAAAACAAGCTGAGCAAAGGCCTCAGTTGAGGGTCAACAAGCTGCTGAGCCCCATCTGTGGGTGCTGTCTCTACAAAATGAGGAGCAACCACAGAAACCTGGGGCATCACCGACAGGCCGCAGGCAGGCGGATGGGGCACACAGGAAGACAGCAGGCCCCTGCCTTCCTCGTCTGACATCCTGGGACTCCATAAATGGAGGCCTGTGGTAGGAAGACCCCAAACCATCAGCCTGGGAGCCACAAAGACCTCCAAAGCCCTTTTAAGTACTGTCAGGATAGGAGAACAGGCACATATCCTAAATGCCCTGGACTCGAGGAAGTTTTCTTTCTTCCGTCTCTCTTCTACTCCCCCACCCCACACCCAGGGCTAGGGCTAAATACCTCCTTTTCTTTCTTTTTTTTTTGAGACAGAGTCTCACTGTGTAGTTCAGATTGGCCTTGGACTCACTATGTGGCCAAGGCTGGCCTTAAACTCCCAGTGATCCTCCCTCCTGCTTCAGCCTCCTGAGTGCTGGGATTACAGGCTCCTCCTAAGTGCTTTCTTCCTGCTGAAGACATTGCTGCACCTGGAGTCTAAATCACGGGAGTCTCTAAATTCCTAAAGAGCAGGACCCTGTCAGATAAGTTCACAGTTGTCTCCCTAGTGGCAAGAATGGCTAGTGTAGCAAGTGTGAGGCCATGGGGAATGATCCCAGTACTACAAAAAAAACAAAAACACTTTGGCACAAATGGGGACATTTGAAGATGGACTGTACATTCGATAATGGGATTTTATAATACTACACTTCCCAAGTGTGATAATCTATTGAGATGATGCCCTTGTTAGTTGGAAATTAAAATCTAAAAGTGAGACATCAAGCTACCCCAATTCTCAATTAATTCAGAACAAAAAAGGGAAGGAGTTTACCATCACACCACGCTGGACTGTGCAGAACCCTCTGCCTCTCTGAGCTCTAGCAAGCTCAGCTTAGGTCTACTGGGAAAGGAGGGGAGAGAATGAAGGTGCAACTAGAGCAAAATGCTAACGATCCCCTTTCTGCCCCCTCTTCTTCCCCTCCCCTTCACCCCCTCCCTCATCTCCAAAAAGTCTGTCTCCCTGTTTTCTACCATCTCTCCTGTATTTCACTATATTCTGAGTTTCAGATTTTGTCTTTAGCGTCCATATTCAAGCCACCCAATTCCCTCTCATGTGAGAAGGGAGAACGAAGCTTCCTCCCAAAGCTAGGAAACATTCTACAGCCGCCCGGTCGCAGCCGCGTTGCCGGGGAAACTGGCTCCCAGAACCACCCGCGGCACCCGCGCTGGCGCATGCGCACACGTTCAGGGCAGCTAGTACCGGCTTGGAGCGGGGAAACCAGCTGAGTTCGCGTGTGGGGGGCGTCGCTTGCCCTTCCAGAAACTCGACGCCGACCTTGCCTAGCCCGTATCCCGTTTATCCTGTACCTGCTGGTAAGAGAATCGCTCCTGTTCCTCGGCCTCCGTCTCCTCCTCCATCGCGGCCGGCCGCCACTGGCAGGCGCGCGAAGGCAGAAAGGCGACGGCCAAACTCCTCAGTCAGACTTTCCCGCCGTGGCTCCGAGCGACGGGCGGCGCTGGGAGTCAAAGCGCGAAGCTCCTCCTCGCCGTCGCGCACGCGCCCCCTGGCGGCTGCGCCGGGGAGGGGTCGGGTGGCCTCTAGACCCCTCCAGAATTGTTACAATAAATCTTATTGACAAAAAGAATGAACCCGGGATTTAGCTCAGTGGTGCCAGCGCCTGCCTCACAAGCGCAAGGATTCGAGTTCGATCCCCGGTACCAAAAAAAAAGAATGAACCCGGAGTGGTGGCGCATGTAGTCCCAGCTGTCTCAGAGGTCGAGGCAGGAATATCGCCACGAGTTCGAGGCCAGCCTGGACTACATAGCAAGATCCTATCTAAAAAAATCCAAAATAGGGCCGAGGATTTAGCTCAGTAGTGCCGCCACGTGCCTCGCAAGCACAAGGTCCGGAGTTCGATCCCCGGTACCAAAAAAAAATTAAATCAAGATGCCAGTGCGAAGTCACTGAACTCAGGACTGGGAAGTGGCACTGGATGTCACATCCAACTCTCCCAATAATGGGACAAATAGCAACCTAACTGGGAAGCGATGAGTTTAGAGTATGTATTACTTTCTAAAAAATCATTTAGGCCTAAGTTATATGACTTAATTTTAATGATTATACTTGTCCCTGGTTTTCAATATTCCCCAAAATTCAGATTGGGTTCCACCAACCTGTAGGAACTGCCCTCATCTACCAGTGGCCTGGCACAGGGTAAACCCCGGTGAGCGAATAAATCAAAGTTGAGAACACAGCGCCCCGCAGCTAGTTGGGGAAGACGTGGGCGTGCACCTCTCCTAACAGTGAGTCCCAGGGACGCGCTAGCACGAGTTCATGTGCATGAGCTTTGCTGTAGGTCCGAATCCCAGCAGCATCTCAGGGAGCAGGGTCCCCAATACTTCTGTTTGTAACCTGGCAAGCCACAGAATGTGTGGGTCTCAGCACGGTGACGCCTCCGGCAGACTAGGGAACAGTAACATGCTCGCTCGTGCTAAAAGCATGGCTTCCGGGTGCTGAGCCTTGTGCCAGTGACACGTGGAATAATGGGCACCTAAGGGCCCCAGAGGAAGCTCCAGGGCCGAGGTGAGTGTGGTGGGACACACGTGTGACCCTGGCACTCTGGGAGGCTGAAGCAGGAGGATTGCAGGTTTGAGGCTGGTCTGGGCAGCTTAGTGACTTAGCAAGACCCTGTCTCAAGAAATATAAAAGGTTGGGCATGTTGCTCAGTTCAAAGGCCCTGGGTTCAATCCTCAGTACTGAAAAAAGAGAAAGAAGGAAGGGAAGGAGGAGGTGGGGGCGGAGAGGGGAGGGAGATCCAGGGCCGAGGAGTCACATTGCAGAGCCCAGATATTCGGCACTTGGCTGAAATTGCCCTCAGCTGCCACTAGATGTCACCCTTGTCCCGCACACCAGTCCAGGTCCTGCCCTCCCGCTTGCAAAATCGTCGCTAAGAGCCCTCCCTTTGCACAGACGTGGTTCTGGATGCTTCTTTTCTTTTTTATTCTTTCTTTTGGTTCTGAGACGGCCTTGCTGTGTAGCCCAGGCTGGCCTCGCCCTCCCAAGGGGACTGTGGGGGTTACCGATGTCAGGGATGTGCCCGCCCGGTCGGAGTGCTCAGGAGGTTGGTGCTGAGCAGCTGGCACTGCGTCCACCCTTGCACCCCTGCCGCCAGCCTACGTCCCCCCGCAAGGACACGGGGGCATTCGCCCGGCTTCCAGAGCAGGACGCTGTCAACACTGAGTCCAAGAGCAGGCACCTTTATTCTTCCTTGAATCCCTGTAAATGCGGAGCGAAGCCACCTCCCTCACTGCTAAGCGCGGGCGGACTCCAGGCCAGGCTGCGGCCACCGCGCTGGTCAGTGAGGACCTAAGCAGGCCACACAGAGGCCAGGCCGTCCCACGACATGCCTGGACGCTACCCCGGGTCACCGAATTCACAGTCCAGCGTTCTCCCGGAAATGCCAGTCAGCTCCTCCACCTCAGGGCCTCCAGCGGTGGATTCAGCATAGCAAGTTCTGCCTTCCAAGGGGTGGTGAGGTCGCAGTGAACTTTGGGAGGCTGAGGCAGGAGGATCACAGGTTAGAGCCCCACTGGGCAAGCTAGCGACTTCGCAAGACCCTGTTGCAAAATTAAACTGAATAAAAAGGGCTGGGGATGTAGCTCAGTGTGAGCCCTGGGTTGAATCAATCAACCAACAGTGCTTCTGGCATGGGCAGCACAGCGGGGGCTGGGAGGCCAGGCCCCTCCACCCACTTGAGTTGGGCAACATCCCAGGGCCCAACCTCCTCCCCCATTCCCTGCACTGTAACCAATCAGGGCTCTGAACACGTGTGCTTGTGGAAAGCCCGACTCAGGACCCCATACCCCGTAAACCCTCCTGTCAGCCTTACCAAGACCCAAGGAGAAGAACCCGGGCTGCACCTCCTAGAAATCCCAGCCTGATTTTTTTTTTTTTTTTTTTTTTTTTGACACAGAGTCTTGTGATGTAGTTCAGGCTGGCCTCAAACTCACAGCAATCCTCCTGCCTCAACCTCCCGAGTGCTGGGATCACAGGCGTGCCCACAATGTCCAGTCCACAGCCTGATTTATCTGTGTGCTTTTTGCTCTTCCTGACATCTGGCACCACTTTTCTGTTCGTGCTGCCTTTTTGTTTCCACTGGCACAGGCCTGCCCTGAGCTCATTTTTCTCTGACCTTCAATAAATCCAGCTGCTTTTCTTTTTTTTGATGTTTTCATACCGGGGATCAAACTCAGGACCTCGCACTTGCTAGGCAAGCGCTATGCCACTGAGCTACGTCCCCAGCCCTGCAGCTATTCTTCTTACACCGTTGGATCTATAATTCTTTGTTCACTGTGCCCAAGAGCCTGGAACCTGTTGGACCCGTCCACGGTATCACTTCCACACTGGAACTGCTAACAGGGACACTGGTCCACTCACCATGGACCTGCCAGACAAGGGACACTTCATATGCCCAGTGCGCTCGCGTGGGACAGCATGAGGTTCCATCTTGCTGCTCAGAATGGCATACAGTTTAAAACTTAAAAGTTTCAGTGGGGTGTAGCTCAGTGGTACAGCACTGACCTCGCATGCATGGGGTTCAGGGTTCCATCCCCAGCACTGCAAAAAGACAAAGCAAAACCAACTTGCTGAAGGCTGACGGTGGCAATAGGTAGTCGTGTTAGGATTTGAACTCAGCTCTGTGTTAGCTCCAGAACTGTGCTCTGTGGTCCATTCTGTATGGTCAGAGGCCCATCACTGAGGACTGCCCAGCCTGGCCTCAGCTGAGAGCTTGCTGGAAACACAGAATGCAGGCCATCTGGAAACGCAGGTGGTTCTAGGGTTTTTCTTTTTGTTTTTTGAGGCAGGGTCTAGCTGTGTAGCCCAAGTTGGCCTTGAAGTCTCAGCAGTCCTCCTACCTCAGCCTCCTGAGTCCTGGGATTACAGGTATGCACCATCATGGGCGGCCAGGTCACCTTTGAGAAGTGCTTTCCCAGCCCCTAAAGAGGAAGCCATGGTCACAGCAGCCACTCGAGGTTGCAGGTTTCCGGGTGGGGCAGAAGGGGCAGAAGGGCCTGGTGGAATCCTCACACTCAGGCAAGGTGTTTTTGTTGTGATACTGGAGACTGAACCCAGAGCCTTCACACTGAGTATGTCCCTTCCCTTTTATTCTTGGGAGACAGGGTCTCATAAAGTTGCCAGGCTGGGCTTCAGCTCATGACACTTCTGCCTCAGCCTCCCAGGCTCCTGGGATCACAGGTGTTCGCCACCATGCCTGGTTAAGGCAAGGACTTTAAAGGTTGGTTTACCATGAAGGGTCCTCTTGCCCATCCCTCTTCTAAGACAGAGGCCGGAGGGCAAATCTGATTCCAGCTGTCCAACAGCCGGTTTCTGCTTGGTGTCCTGGCCTGAAGATTCCACAAAGCCCTCAGAAACATCAGCTTGGAACAGCCGGGCCCCTGCCATCTACCTGTCAGGAAACAAACTGGGCAAAGGTCCAGGGAAGGGGACAGAGCCGGCCTAGCCGAGCCTGGCATTGCAGTGTCATTCTCTAAGTGTATTGTGACAGGGCCGGGATTTAGCTCAGTGGTGCTGCGCCTGCCTGGCAAGCGCAAGGTCCTGAGTTTGATTCCCAGTATCAAAAACTAAGTTTATTGTGACAAAGGTGACAAATAGGAAGACATAAAAAGAACGTTACAGTGACTGCCCAATACCCACCCCCCAACGTAAGAGGTGAAACATGACTGCCCTGCATGCCCCACCCTCCTGCCCACACCTCCCTCCAGACAAGCTGCACCCCAACTAGGTATTTCCTATGTTCTTGAGTCTCCCTCTCTGATGGTCCTGGGAATTGAACCCAGGGCCCTCTACCACCTCTACATCTCCACCCCTAATTTTTTTTTTTTTTTTTTGAGACATGGTCTCCCTATGTAGTCCAGGCTGGCCTCAAACTCGAAGCAATCCTCCCGCCTCAGCCTCTGAGTGCTGGAATTAGAGGTGTGCGCCACAATGCCCAGGTCCTTTTTTAGTTTTGTTTTTTTGGTTTTTTTTGGTACCGGGGATCGAACTCGGGTCCTTGCACTTGCGCAGCAGGCAGCAAAACCACTGAGCTAAATCCCCGGCCCCCTTTTTTAGTTTTTGAGACTGGCGGCAACAACAAGTTGAGACAGGGTCTTGCTAAGTTGCTCAGGCTGGCTCTGAATTTGGAATGCTCCTGACTCAAGCCTCCCAAACAGCTGCCATTACAGGTGTACACCACTTTGCCTGGCTTTTTTTGGATACTAGGAATCAAACTCAGAGCCTCAAGCTTACCAGGCAGGTGCTGCACCACTGAGCTACATCCCTGGCCACACTGGCTTTTTTTTTTTTTTAAAACAAAGAGGAGAATTTAGGCTGGAAGAAAAACTGATTCAGATTTATTAAAACCATTGCAAACCTTTCTGCCCCCTGGATAATTGCGGAGTGTGGCCCAGGTGAGACTAAGAAGAGCAGGAAAAGCATAAGCACGATGTAGCTTTACAGAGCGGAAGGAAAGTGAATCTAGCTGCCAGGCAGTCTCCAAGCCCGCTCCTGCCGCGGCCACCTCCCCACCCAAGGCACAGCTGCTGCTGCCCCGAGGCGTGGTCCCCACTGGAGTGTCGTCTGCCGGTCCTGGCACAGAGCAGCGGTGCACTCAGGCGTTGTAGGAGGACGACGACACGCTCCCGCCGTGGCCCGTCCAGTTGGTGTGGACGAACTGTCCCGGCTTGGCCAAGAGTTCGTAGGTGTGGGCCCCGAAATAATCCCGCTGCGCCTGGGAGGGTGGCGGGGACAGGTGAGCGGGGACAGGGCTGCGGGCAAGCAGGGGGCACAGGGGCGGCCGCCGGCCCCACTCACCTGGATGAGGTTGGCCGGCAGCATCTCGTGTCTGTAGCCGTCGTAGAAGGACAGGGCGGTGGTGAAGCAGGGCATGGGGATGCCCGCCTGGACCCCGGTGCTCACCGTGCGCCGCCACGAGTCCTGTGCGAAGGCAGAGCCGGGTGAGCGGTCTGGGCGCAGGAATCAACTCCTGCCCCGCGCCCCGCTGTCCCCCGCTCCGCGCACCTGGCAGCTTTCCACAGCTGACCGGAAGAAGTCATCCAGCAGCAGGTTCTGGAGTTCCGGGTTTCGGTCGAAGGCGTCCTTTATCTTCCCCAGGAAGACACTGGATGGAGAGGGAAGGATCACCGGCCTCAGCCCAGCAGCCCCGCGCCTGGCAGAAAGCAAGGGAGCGGGCGGGGGCCACCCCCGAGAGGAGAGGCCGAGGGGGCAGCCCGGCCCCGCAGGAACACGGTCTGGGAAGTCCTCACGGAGCCGACCGTGAAGGGCTCCCTCAGCGCGCATGTGGGGTGGGCCCCTGGGCCCCAAATCCAGGGCTTCGCGTGCCGGACAGGACCCACAGGTGCACCCAGGCGACACCTAAGGCAGGGTTGCCCTGGGGAAGCAGCTGCTTCGCCGCGCTGTTCACAGAATTGGGACAAGAAGCGTTTCCTGTGTCCTGTACACTCGGTCTTGGCTGTGCTGGGGACCAGAGCCAGGGCTGGCTGGGCATGCGCAGCACCACTGAGCTCTAGCCCGGCCCTTGACCCCATCTTTCTGCAAGTATTTCCAGTCTGCATTTGGGTGGGGAAGTGACAGTCACGGAGGGCCACCGCGCAGGATGGGGGGTGGCAGGAACAGTCACCCCCAGGACTGCTGTGCGCCGCTCACCTGCGGATGATACAGCCCCCTCGCCACATGAGGGCGATGCCGCCGTAGTTGAGGGTCCAGCCGAATTCGGACGCCGCCTGCCTCAGCAGCATGAAGCCCTGCGCGTACGAGATGATCTTGGACGCGTAGAGGGCCTAGGGCGACAGTGACACCGGGACTCTCGAGGCTGCAGCTGGCGAGTGGCCGCTCCCCACCCACACCCCACAGAGACCACAGCACAGGGAGGGAGGCGGCTGGGAATGGGCAGGGCCGGCCGGGGACGCCCCACCTTCCGGATGTCCTCCAGGAAGGACTTCTTGTCGCCCCCAAACTGGGTCTTCTGGGGGCCCTTCAGCCTCTTGCTGGCTTGGACCCTCTCATCCTTCAGCGACGATAAGCACCGAGCGAAGACAGCTTCTCCTGCACGGAGGAAGCGAGGGCGAGGGTGACAGACAAAATGCCAGGTTCCCCAGACCCCGGGAAGGGGCACAGGCGCCATGGAGGGTCTAGCGGGCAGGAGATGCGGAAGAGCTCTATGGAGAGGAGAGCGGAAGCTCCAACCACAGGCCCCAACTTAACCCGAACCGCAAGGGACTCTCAGAAAACCTCTGCACACTCCACAGGCAGCGCGCTGAGATTCCACCTCAGTCTTCAACATGGACACAGGGATTCAAGCACCAAGATCAACTCAGAATTCAGAGGGGTGTTCGAGGGACAGTGAAGAAATAAGACAACTGTTCAGAATTACTCAGTAATGGCCATGAATTAAAATTTCAGTTTCAATTTAGAAGACTTTTTTATTTTGTTCACAGGATTTATCTCAGGACAGTTTTGTGGAGATTCATCTATATAGTTTTTTTGTTTTGTACTGGGGATCGAACTCGGGACCTTGTGCTTATGAGGCAGGTGGCGGCACCACTGAGCTAAATCCCCGGCTCATCTATATAGGGTTTTCACAGATTTTTTTTCCCCCCAGTACTGGGGATCAAACTCAGGACTTTGTGCCTTCAAGGCAGGCGCAGCACCACTGAGCTAAATCCCCAGCGCTTTTCTGTGAATTTTGAATTAGAAGACTTTTTTTTTTGGTACCGGGGATCAAACTTGGGATAGCAGGCACCGGAACCACTGAGCTAAATCCCTAGCCCCAGAAGACTTTTATTATTATTTTTGCTTGTTTGTTTTGACAGGGTCTAGCTTTGTAGTTGAGGTTAGCCTGGAACTCATGGTGATCCTCCTGCCTCAGCCTCCAGTGCTGGGATTACAGGGGTGTGCCACTACACCTGGCTCATTTTTATTTTATTTTCAGTATAGGGGATTGAGCCCAGGGAGCCCTAAACTACATCCCCATCCTTTTTATTTTGAGAAAGGACCTAAGTTGCCCAGGCTGGCCTTGAACTTGTAATGCTCCTACTTCAGCCTCCTGAATAGCTGGGATTAGAGACATGTGCCACCACCCCTTGCTACAGAACTGTTTTGTTTTTTTGAGACAGGGTCTCACTTGAACTCATTCTGTAGCCCAGACTGGCCTCAAACTTGTGATGATTCTCCTGCCTCAGCCTCTCAAGTGTCAAGATTACAGATGTGCACGAACACCCCTGGTTTAGTTAACAATTTATATAATTAGGATAAATTACTTTTCTTTTTTTGTCCAGACAAAATGGGCTGAAATCCTGGAACTAACCGAGGACCTACAGAGAGGATGCAGGCTGTGACCTGGAGAGCGTAAGCTGAGCTCCAAGCATCTCCGAAGCTGATATCCCCCTGCCCCACCCCGCCTGTTCTTCCTGCAGCCACACAGGCTGACTGAGCAGGAGGGAAGGAAGCTTCCCACAGCGACGCGGCCACATGAATGTGGCAAACCCTCCTTGTTGCCTAATGCCGCCTGCCTGGGGGAAGGGGACGAAGTCTCCACAGAAGAAGGGGGCTCTGCCAGGGACAGTGCCACGCTTACAGCACCTCAGTGCCTGTGAACAGACAGCTCACGGTGCCACCCAGATTAGCTCAGGGCAGCCAACCTCCTTCTGCACACCTGGGGCTGATGAGCCTGCTCCCCTCCTCCCCTGCCTTTCCACGCAAGGTGAGGCCAGGCTGACCAGGAAGTCCCAGCTAGAAGAGCCGGGATATGGTGGTGCATGCCCGCAATCCTAGCACTCGGAGACTGAGGCAGGAGAATCTCTGTGAGTTCCAGACCAGCCTAGCTACATGGTGAGTTCAAGGCCAACCTGCACTACACAGCAACGACAGTCTCTGACTGGAATTCAGTGAGGAATGCTAAATATTCCCAAGCTAAAACTGGACGGGAAGGCACTAAGCTCTGCGTGGCCGCACGGCCTGTGGTCCTAACCAGGCCACACTCCCTCCCTGCAGAAAGACCCTGACTTTTGCCCCGGCAACAGTCTACACACCCATCAGATCAGCACTCCAGAGGGACTCCAGGTCAGAACAGGGGACCGTGCCTTACCGATGAGGGTGACAGGAACGCCGTACTCCAGGGCGGAGATGGCCGTCCATTTCCCAGTGCCCTTCTGCCCCGCGCTGTCCCTGATCTTGGGCAGCAGATGTTGGCCATCGCTGTCTTTGAACTTGAGGATATTGGCGGTGATTTCAATCAGGAACGAGTCCAGCTCTGTCTTATTCCAGTCCTCGAATGCCTGTGGTGGCGGCAGAGGGACAAAGCAATGTCAGGGCCAGGCACCTTCCGCAGGACACACTCCTCCCTGGCTCTGCTACCGGCCCCACCCGTGACCAGGGGCACAGCTGCCCAAGCACCTGGCGGGGGTGGGAGCGCAGGGTGGAGGGTGCGCCCCCTGGTGCCCGCCTGCTACCCTGGTGTTGCGGCCCGTGGCACAAACAAACCGAACCCCACACCCACTTCCATTTCTTCAGGACAGTCACCATGAAGCCTCAGGACTGCACCTCCCATGTGTTCACGTGTTAGATGAACAGACCGAGTATTATGTAAACCAAGCAAATACAAACAAACAGAAAAGCAGTATTTCGGAAACACACTCGAGACAGGAGGATGGATGCCAGGTGCAGTAGTGCACGCCTGTAATCCCAGCACTCGGGAGACTGAGGCAGGAGGATCACTGAGAGTCCCAGGCCAGCCTGGGCTACACAGGGAGACCCTGTCTCAACAACAACAAAAAACAAAACAGAAAGATAGGCGAATGGGGCTGGGGAGCTCAGTGTAGAGCTCTTGCCTGGCATTCATGAGGCACTGGGTTCAATCCCATGTCTTCAAGTGAAACAAATGTTTGCCTAATGCCACCGGGAAGAAGTGCTGACCATGCACTGCACCCAGAATATCACACGAGCCCTCCAGCAGACGGACAGACAGACAGGAAGTCTGGTGAAACGCTACCATGGGCCTGGGGGTGCACAGCGTTTACGGTGGGACCCTTGCCACATGTTGCAGGTTTACTGAATAAAATGCCAGTGAAATCCATCTGCTTCCGCCTTCGCTAACTCCTCTGATGAACCATCAAAAAGTCAGGTCTGGCCTGATCAGCAGGGAACACTCCCCACCCCGTGGATGGCCAACCCAGGGCGCCCCATGACATGGGCCAGACAGCAAGCTCAGGAACCGGGCCGATTACCCCAGGACGCCCTGGGACTCTGCTTCATGGCCAGCTGTCCTACTTTATGGTCCCGTTACTGAGGGCTTCCCCTAATTCAGTCTGGGCAGGAGCGAGACGGCCCAGGGACGGGAAGGAGGGAGGGTGATTTCGGGCGCCGAGCTGCACCACGCCGCACCACGCCACACCGAGCCACACCGCGCCGCACCGCACCTGGGCCATGTCGGTGTGGCCCAGGCCCAGCACGTCCTTCATCAGCTGGTACGCCTCACAGATGAGCTGCATGTCGCCGTACTCGATGCCATTGTGCACCATCTTCACGAAGTGCCCGGCCCCCTCATCTCCCACCTGTGGGGGTGACAAATGAGGGCCATGAGAGGGAGGAGGGAGGACGGCGGGCCAGAGGTCCCCAGCCCCACACGATCCTCAGCAAGGCTTCCTTCCAGCCATACAAAAAAGCCACCAACCAGAAGCGAACACAGTATTTTCACACAACTCAGACCCCTGCAAGCTTTAGGCTTTGAGCCCCGCAGGTTTGCCCCCTACAGGTCCCCAGCCTCCCCTCACTGCTCCTCTCCCAGGCCCTACCACAAATTTTAAAAGTCCTCTTCTAGGGCCAGGGATTTAGCTCTGGTGCCACGCCTGCCTCACAAGTGCAAGGTCCTGAGTTCAATCCCCGGTACCAAAAAAAAAAACCAAACAAAGTCCTCTTCTTCCTGGTTACCACTTTTTTAGAAACCAGAAGTTATAATAAATTGGCTAATCACTTGTTTCTTTCCATATATAAAGATGCTGCAGTTGTTTCCATGGCTACAGAGGGGGTAAAATGGCCTTGCAAGGCATCTGGCTGTTCTCCCAGGCCCCGCTGCTGACGAGGCCCTGCCTCACATACGCTGGCCAGATGTAAAAAACAGAATAGCTGCCGAGTTTATGAGGGGCAACTTGATGAGGGTCCTCGGTGGTTACAAGTTACTCTAGCCTGTCATCCCAGCACCCAGGAAGCTGAGGCAGGAGAGTTGCCATGAGTTCGAGGACAGCCTGGACTACATAGGGACACTGTTTCCAAAAACCAAAAAACCAAAACACACGTGTTACTCTGAGCAATGGATTCTGTCCCTGAAGAGCTACCTGGGAAAGCAAACTACAAACTGTCCAGCGGGCAGAGAACCAGGGCACAGAGACGAGTCAGGTCCTTCATGCCCAGGCGCCAGTCTCGCTCCCGTCCCCAGGAGGTGGTGCCGCTGCCTGTGCAAGCTGGTGGCCTAGTCTCTCCTGGCCGTCCCGGCCTCCATGGACCCTCCGGCGCAACAGCAGTCTGGCCTGGCCACACAGCCGCAGAGCACTGTGGCTGCCGGCGTCTTGCTTCACCTTCCTGTGGCTTCCATGTAAGCTCAGTGGTGCAGCTACGCTCTCAGGCCCATGGTTTCCGGCACCCTGAGCCCAGAGGCCTGGGACAGGCAGCCTGGCCTAATGGAGACCTGCAGGGTGAGCTGCTCTTTCCTCCTGATTTTACCCCAGTTCGTCTAAGAATAAGTCAGGGGCGCTGGGCTTTCCTGTCACCTACTGCTCAGGATCAAGTCCCTCGAGTCCTTCAGACTACAGAGACTGCTTAGCCTTCCCTGTCACAGCCTCTGCCGCTGTCACAGAGACTACATGGCACGCTGACCCTGGGGAAAGGCAGGCGCTGGGCAAGCTGCTGTGGTGAAAGCCGCCAGGCCATGGCAGCCCCGGAAGAAGGGTGTCTGTCCCTCGGGCCTCACACGCCCAATCCTGTCCCAGCCCCTCTGACTAGGATATAAAGTAAGTAAATCAGCGGACAAAACAGCTGATGTAACAGGAAGGCCAGGGGCAGGAAGAGTGTGGAGATCACCCACCCCACCCGTTTCCAGATCAGGAAACGGAAGTCCACCTGGGGAAGTGACCTGCCTGGAGAAGCATCGTGACAACGCTCTTCTCCCTAGGCCGGCCTTCTCCTCCACACACCCTAAGGCTGCAGCCACAGTGAACAGGAGGAGGCGTCTGGGAACCGTCAGGCCTTCTGCACTTCCAGCCCCTGCAAGCACTCAGCACCCAGATCCCAAGCATAGGGAGAGGGATTCTCCACCTCCACAGCAGAGCCCAATCCACCTCCTCCTCCTCCCGGCAGACAACACACCCCCACGTCCCCTCTGAGGCTTTCTCTAGCTACGATGGGACACTCAAGAAGTCTCGGTCCCCCCCAGCCTGCCTGTCTCATTATGGAATCTGCCTTTGAGCTGCGCTGAGGAGGGTGCCTTAGTAGCCCAGCATCTGTGCTCTGAACGGCCAGTCCAGGCCCACAGACACGGAGTACATGGGAGCGGCTGCAGGTCTCAGATTGAGGCCAATGTCACAAAGCCAACCACAGGGACCGTGGTGGCCTCAGCTCGGCTGTGCTCTCCATCACTCAGACAGGCTCACGATGCCCATGGGGTCACAGGGGTGCCCGGAACTTGCCCAGTCACAGCAGGGCTCTCCAGTCCCCACTTTGGCAGCGATGCTCTGGAAGATTGTCTTGATGTGCGGCCTGTGGAGGGAGACGGGCTCAGCTTCACTCAGTAATCGAAGGTTCTGCTTTCCGACGGGAGGCGGAAGTGCTCATTAAACTGCTGAGCACGCCAAGCTCTGATGGTCAACACCAGGCCTGGGCCTCCAGGTCCCCCTGGGCCTCAGGGCAGAGGCTGCCAACCACCTGCCTCAGACAACAGACAAAAAGGCTGGGCAGAGCGCATGCCAGCAGCTCAGCCCCTGGGAGGCTGAGGCAGGAGGATCATGAGTTTCAAGTCACTCTGGGCTATGGAGCAAGTTCAAGGCTGGACCGGACCATAGTGAGACTGCCTTGAAAAGCAAAACAAAAAGGCTGGGAAGAAGCATCAGGAAGCTGCAGTGGGGATGGAGCTCAGGGGTAAAGCACATGGGGCCCTGGGTTCTTTACCCAGCACCCCCCCAACCCACCCCCCGACACCAGAAAAACGTCCACTCTGGCCTCAGAATCAGCTGTGATCCCAGCCTGCAAGTGACACTGGTCCATCCATCTAAAGACCCCTGTGGTTAGCTCAGATGCAAGTCAGCAGGTGCGGCAGGTTCTCTACACCCGGTCCCAGAGACACAGCAGCGCAGCGGTGTAGGACAGGCCCCTGCAGAGGAGGAGCAGCCCCTTCCTTTCCTCCACAGCTCCGTTCTCCCACACCGCTCTGCCCACTGCTGACCAGGGGAGGCTTCTCCTCCATGAGGGTGCTACAGACACAAAGCCTCCCAGGGCAGCATGCTGGCCTCCAGGTCAGAGCTGTTTCCTTCTCTTTCCTTTGGCTTTTTTACTTTGCAGTTCTGGGGATGGGAATCAGCCACAGCCAGGCTCCCCTGCCGAGCCCCACCCCTGACCCCCATGTGCCATTTCTACTTCCGAAGACCAGTGGGAGAGAAGGGAGACCAGGAGGAAGTGGAGGCTGCTGTGGCCAGGGTTGCCATGGGAACAATAACTGCTTCTGAGAAGCAGGAAGGCTCCCTGCCTCTGTGCTTTAACTCACTGGAAAGAATCCTTGGCCTCACTGATCAGAGAGGTGATTTAAAGTCATCTTTCCAAATGGGGTCACCAGTGCCTGATGCAAATCTAGACGGTCTGGGAATCAAACTCACTCCAGCCTGTCCCTCAAAGGGATGCCTCCTTTGCTGTTTTCCTCTCGTGTCCTCCCTCTCCCTCCTGTCTGGCTCTCCTAGTCTCAGCACAGCTCTCTTCCCAGGTCTAAATCCTGCACAATCCACTGCTTGCATAGACTGTAAACTCGGATTCTCCAACCACTCCTACCGCCACCTCCTACACCTGACTCACCAGTTCCCCTTCCAGCACTTCCCCTTCACAGTGGCCCTTCCTCCTACACAACCCAGAGTGAAGAGTGTGAACTTTGGTTTTTCCCCTTAAGTTAAATACAATATTCCGCCTCATTCCCAGGCCCAGTCAGATTTTTGTGCTACTCAATTCTATGTTATTTTAGGACCACACCTCAGCCTGCAGAGGCAGCGCTGAGCCCTTACATTGTCCTAGCCCAGGACACCTTGCCCATCTTCCTCCAAATCTAAGGGCTGGCACTACCAGTCTCGGTGGTAATGGCAGAAAGGCAAGAGGAGCATGCACACTCATCTGATCCCAGCAAAAATGCCCAGATGAAAGCAGTGCCTCAGCCCCATGGCAAAGCCAAGGTGAAGACCTGCAGTGTAGCCGGGCCACTCACCAAGCCTCTCTGTTCCCTCCTGGCATGAGTGATGGGCCGTACCGGGCACCCTCCTCGCCACCACTAACGCCACTCCCCACAAACAAGATGCCCTTGGCCTTGAGGTCTCGACATCGTCTCTGAAGAAGAGAAAAACCAAGTCATGATGGCTCCTCCAAACACCAAATTCCTCACACGGAATGAGAGGAGGGGTTAGCCGGGCAGAGACACCACGGTGGACAGGCCTGACCCAGGGGCTAGGGGCCGATCACCCAACTCAGGTCTCTCCGGGGGGCAATAAAAACAATCGTTTCTCCTGGATGTTCAAGGCCCTTCCCTATTGCCAGAAGGAATAATAAAGGCAAACAGACCTTCCCATGTTCCCTGGAAAGAGCTTGCACAAAAAGACTCAATGGTTTAATACAAGCTTAGTGACTTGGTGTCACTCAGCACTTTGCAGCACGCGGGGGCATCCCTAGCTCCCAGGGCAGCTCCCAGGGCCTGAGGCAATCAAAGCAGGGTTCTCAACCACGTTAGACACAGACTTGGCAGGCAACGGTGGGGAGGGGAGGGTCGAGGTGAGCAGAGCCCCGGTGCTGGGCGGAGCAGCCAGCACTCAAAGCTGGAGGTGTGGACCGAGACCCCACCCAGCAAGGAAAGGCCCAGGGCCAGGCGACACAGAGCCAGGCCCCAGGAGAGCCGGCCTGAGGTCACAGGTGAGAGAGACGCTGACAGCTCTTGCTCGAGTGTTCCTGGGACCTGGAGGAATTGGGACTGAGGGACACTCACTGTGGTATCATGATACTCGGAATTCCCCCCGTCGATGATGATGTCACCAGTGTCCATCAATGGGACCTGCAACCAGACATGGGCATCAGGATGCCAAAGAGAGAAAGAACAAGAATTTATCCCAAATATGTATAGTCTGCGGGCATGTTATATTTGTCAACAACTCTGAGTGGCTACAGTCACACCTTACTTAAAATCTGTTTTTTGGGGGGGTTTTTTTGGTACCGGGGATCGAACTCGGGTCCTTCCGCTTGCGAGGCAGGCAGTGGAACCACTAAGCTAAAGCCCCGGCCCTACACCTTACTTAAAATCATAAGACAAGCCAGGAGTGGTGGCTATCCCAGTATTCAGGAGGCTGAGGCAGGAGGATCGCCACAAGTGAGGCCAGACTGGGCTACAGAGTGAGTTGAAGGCCAGTCTGAACTGCACAGTGAAACCCTGTCTCAAAAACAAACTCACAAAAACAAGGGATGCACAGACCCGGGATTTAGCTCAGTGGTTTCGCCACCTGCTTCGCAAGCACAAGGACCTGAGTTCCATCCCCGGTAGCAAAAAAAAAAAAAAAAAACCCCCAAAAACCCCAAAGGCTACACTTGCTAAAGCCTCAAATTGTTTGGTATGAAACTAAGTTACCAGTTCCTAGGAGTCCTTGAAGGGATATCTTATTCACATTATACAACTGTGAAAACTGCTAGGGCTGAGACAAGAGGAGTGTAAGTTCAAGGACAGCTTGGACTACACAATGAGATCCTATCTCAAAAAAATAAAAGGAACGAAGGAAGAAAATTATTGCTTTATAGCAATACTGAAAAAAAATGTATTTCTCAATTGGGACACAGCCAGGCACGGTGGCACACACCTGTAATCCCAGCACTCAGGAGGCTGAGGCAGGAGGATTGCTGCCAGTTTGAGGCCACCCTGGGCTACGTAGTTAGGCCTTGTCTCAAAAAACCAAAAAAAGGGGCTGGGGCTGTGGCTCAGTGTGAAGGCCATGGGTTTAATGCCCAGTACCACAGGAAGAAAAAAGCATTTAAGATGTAGGTGACTGGCATGCAAAAGGCTCTGGGTTCAAAGTCAAAACACAAAAACTAAAAACAGTGTCTGGGGGTGTGCTCAGCAGCAGTGTTTGCACCTGCCCCATATGCACATGGCCCTGGGTTTGATCACGCCAGGGAACTGTAAGAAAACTGTTTTGTTTTGGTGGTGCTTGGGATTGAACCCAGGGTCCTTGCACTGACCCACATCCCCAGCCCTTTTTTAATTTTTTGAGACAAGGTCTTGCTAAGCCCCATGTTGTCCCAGCTGGGCTCGAATCTGTGATTCTCCTGCCTCAGCTTCCCAGAGCGCCTGGATTGGTGGGCATGTGCCACCACACCACATATAGCTGTAAAATCTTTTTGAATAACAAAGACAGAGAACCCATTAATAGGTTCCTATTGTTCTAGTTCTTTTTTTGTTTTTGGTACTGGGGATCGAACTCAGGACCTTACGCTTTCAAGGCAGGCGGCAGCACCACTGAACTAAATCCCCAGCCCTTGTTCTGATTCTTATTGCTAATAAGTTCTTATTGAAAGGTCCCTCAGGTCCTGGACTTACTGCCACCCAAGGCTATGCTGTTGCCCAATGCGTGCCAGGCAGGTTACCCAACACTGACACGTTTAAGAAATTGTCCTGTCAAAGAGAACACTTCAGATCCAGAAACTGACAATAAAAATTCTCTGAAGGAGAACCGAGGAAGCACAGCCAGGAGCAGAGAGCCTCACCAGTTTCTCAATGAAGTCGTCCACGGCCTGGCCGGCCTTCACCAGCAGGATGACCCGACGCGGCTTCTTCAGCTTGGACACCATCTCCTTCAGGGAGTGTGCCCCCACCACCTTGGTTCCCTTCGCCTCGTTGGCCAAGAAATCATCTACCTTGGAGACTGTCCTGTTAAAGGCACAGACCTGGAGGGACAAGGGCCTCATTAAGAGATCTGGGACACACAAGACTTCCGACTGTGCACTCGGTAACAGTGACATGTCCATGTAGCCTCAGTCCCAGGGAGGGCGCAGGCCACCTCAGCAGGGAGACACAGGAACTGAGGCAAAGGCCATGTGTCCCCAGTGTACCTGCTGAAGCCTGTCACTGCTGGTTAGACCGCAGAACCAAACCCAGGAAGTAGCTGTTCCAGCAGGCGCTTGGTCTCATCTGGCTTCTACCTGACTGTTTCTCTCTCTCTCTGTGGAGCTGGGGATAAAACCCAAAGCCTCACACGGGCTAGGCCAGCTTTCCACCTTGAGCAGTGCCCCAGCCCCTCGTGTCCCTGATAAGCGGGGCATCTAAGCCCCTTTAGTGTTTAGAAATAACATTCAGAGCCTGCTGGTGGCCATGCCCGAGGTCCCAGAGACTCCCCAGGGACACAGGAGGCTGAGGTGGGAGGATGGCTCGAGTTGGGAATTGGGAGGCCACCCAGGGCAACAAAGGGTCATCTTGTTTCGAAAAAAAAAAAACAAGCCTGTTTTTCACTCTCCCAGATATCACTGGGCAACAAGTCAGCAGTCGCTCTACACGGCCCACTGGGCGCTACTTAAGCCTCCAACCTCACCGGAGACTCCTTCCTGCAACTGCAGGGACCACCCGGCCACACCCACGCCTAAGGTGGCTTCTTTCACAAGAGTGGCACCGGCAGCTTTGGGGTGCACGGGCAGGAAGGGTGCAGACTCCAGGGGCTCTCTGACGCTGGGCAGGTGCACAGCCAGGGCTGCGCAGGGCCGGAAGGGACGTGATCCCAGCACTCACCACAAAGCCGTGGTCATTCATGTTCAAAATCAAGTTCTGGCCCATGACAGCGAGTCCGATAAGCGCAACGTCAGCTCTGAGAGGCCGGAAAGAGAACAAAGCAAAATGTCAGCGCCCGGTCACTTCAGACACGACTGGGACGTGGTCGCCCCGCCCCCAATCTGCGCCAGGCCGCGCGGGGAACCTTGGCGCCCTCGGACGGACCCAGCCCGCCCATCGGAGGACCCCTGCCCCGCGAGCGGCCGCCCGAGCCTGCGCGCAGAGGGGCCCGGGAGCCCCAGCCGCGACTCCGCGCCTCCAGAGCCCGAGCGGGCTACCCGGGCCTGGGGAGGCGGGGAGAGAACCGGGGTCTGGCCCCAGCGCGGGCCACTCACTGGGCCATAGCGGCGGCGGGAGGAGTAGACCGAGACGGGCAGGACAAGCGCAGGAACTCAGCGCTTGCTGAGAATGCGGCGCCGTCGGACTCCCGCTGGCCTCCCCAGCCTGGGGCGGCTCCCCGCCACATTCGTCGGCGCCCGCCAATCGGAAGGGAGGGGCGGGGTCTCACGCCGCGCCATTGGTTCTTTCCGGCGCCTGTTACACCACCTGAGGGCAAACGGTACCGCCCACTCCGGGGGCCGAATCAGTAGAGCTCAGAGCAGATGGATGATAGCGCGGGCGCGCGACACAGACCCCTGGACGGCGGAGGCGAAGTGCTCGGTGTCCCTTTGCGCCTGCGCGGCTGCGACCAGCCAACTCTTCGGGGGCTGCATTTGTGAAATTGTTGTTCAGAACATTTGCAACTTTAGTTTTCAACTACTCGATTTTGGTACAACTGTATGGGAACTGTACGAGTCCCTTACCCGCCCCCAGTGATGAGGATTGAACCCAGGGCCTCTCACGTGCTAGGCAAGTGCTCTACGATTTTTATTATTTGTACAGGGGACTGAACCCAGGGCTTTCGCACTAAG